TTGGTGGAGATGGGTTTTCACTCATGATATAGATGGAGGCACGATTAACAGCTGACGTACCAGGTGACGTGACACTACTGCTGGCACCGCTACTAACTGTGTCTGACATGGCAACTAACGTGGCACTACTGCTGGCACCGCTGCTGGCTGTGTCTAACATGGCAGCTGTCATGACAGGTGACGCATTACTGTTGGCATCGCTGTTGATATGTCTTGGAAGCTGATTGGGCGGCCAAATAAGGCTTTTGCTAATTTATGAATTTAATACTGAAGGTTGGGATGCAGAAGCATAAGTTTGAAGGTTGATTGCCGCCGAGGATGGGGCTAGGGGTGGCAAATTATCACATGACACGACAACTCGACACGAACACGACACGAATTAAAATGGTTTGGGTTTGGCATAAATGGGTTTGAGTCATAAAAAGGTGGACACGATTAACCCGTTTACTTAACCGTATCGGGTTAGGGTTGAGAGGTTCAACCTGTGTAACCCGTTTATGACCCATTTAACTCAACATATTATAATCGTGAATATAACCTATATAATATGTTACCTGTTTAAACCCAATTACTATGGATAGTTAAGTCATTTCAATATAAACCTTGTCTATGTCTTATGATTTTTCTTTTTATTTTGAATATTTGGGTTAATTATGACAACCTTTTCTATTATTTAGTATTTGATTAAATATTAAATGTCTCATTTTAATAAACAGGTCATTGAACGGGTTAACACGATTACCTGTTCAATAGACGAGTTGGGTTAGTGTTGAGATTCTTGACACGATTATTAAATGGGTTGGGTTTGGGTTTACCTATTTATTATAATACCCTTACATCGACACGATACGAACACGACCCACGAACACGAATTGCCACCCCTAGATGGGGCTAATAGTGTCATCCTCGATGGCGATTATGATAAATTGGTATATTATTTACTAGAGATTGAAAGACTCTGATACCATGTTAGAAATAAATGAATGAAAAAATATTATATTGTATTAATGTATTGAATGAGATTACATAAAGGGCCTATATATAAGAGAAGGTTTGGGGGTAGGTAAGTGATGAACAAGTAACCTATAGATACTAATATGGTAGGTGTAATCATATATGGTACTTTCTAATATGCAAAAAACTTAGGTGATAGGTTAAGGGGTAAACTTGTAATCTAACATCTAATACCTATCTTATCAACCTTCTGAATCCCAATCGATCCCTTAAAGCAAAAAAAGCTCAACTGTTCCATAAAAAAAATGATAAAGCATTATGCAAAACATGGAAAATGGTTGGGGAAGATTCAATCACGGGTTTGAAGCAACATAGATCCACCTATTGGTAACAAATCCGTACTAATTTTCTACGCCAAGGGGAGGGCATGCTGGCAAGAAAAAGCAATGGTTTGATAAGTTGTTTTTCAACCATTCATCTAAAGGTAAACAAATTTTCTAGATATTACAAAAGTCGTCAAAGACCATCGGACTAATGGCTACAATGCTGAAGATAACGTCAAATCAACAAATAAGAAAGATGGATGTTGTCGATCTCAATATTAATAAGCCTGGAAATTGCTCCGAATTGATTTCAATAATACAAGATTCATTCTTGAACAATCCAGTTACTCACAGAGTATCAACACCAGGTTTGGTAAACCTTAGTGATGACGACCCACCGCCCGGTGCTAAAGGTTTGCATGACTTACAATAATGAACAAAGAAGGGTAAAAACAAAAACAAATATGTTGTTCAAATGCAGAGTTTATTTCCTTGGCAGAAAAAGAGTGACGAGCCTCTTTCTAATGCGTTTAGAAAACGAGACTTTTTAATGCGAGATGTCACTTTGCAAGGTCAAAATAAGATTGTGGTTTAAGAAGCCTTTCTAGTCAAATTTACATTTATAAAATCACTACTACAACTAATAAAGTATAGCGAGTAGGGATCGTCCACAGAGATTATACGTGTTGGAATTTAACTTCAACTCTAATGTACCAATTGATTGCAAAGAGAGAGATTGGTTGATTAAACTAGAAAATAATTAAATTAAAATGCAAGTAAAGTAAACTAACGAGAGATAGGGATTAAGAGATATGAAGAGAGGTCTTAGGGTGTTGGAATCACCACTAAGCTTATGTAATTAACCACTTGCTTTCCATTAATAGGGAATACATTGTTGCAATCAAGATGTGGCTACAAACATAAACACAATTTGCATGTAAAAGTGTGAACTATCTAATGCAAGAGTGAATTGTCTACCTAACCAACAAGTAAACTAAGTATAGAACAACCTACCAAGATAAAAGCATAATCTATGAATTAAGTAACAAATGGGTCTAATGAGAGCACACATCAATCTAGAGAATCATGAAATTTGAAATAATAAGCCATGGAATATCAAATCAAGTATTGATTGTCTACCTACTTACAATCATGAATTAAATTGTAGAACAACCCATCAAGTATAAGTATAATCCATCAAATTAATTGACAAATCCATTCAATGAAAACTTATGCTTAGCCATCACTAAATCCTTAATTAATCACACATAGACATGCAACCAACATAGAGAATCTAGTGTAGAGATTAATTCCCAAATAATCACACATAAGACAACATGTAATTAAAATAGAGAATCATAAGAAAGAATTAAATCAACAATCACAAGGCTAAGCACTAATCACAACAATATATATATATAAATCCCCAAAAATAGAAATACAAGAGTTTAGATTACACAAGAATTAGGGCTTATCCAAGCCCTACGTGTAGATCTAGCCAATCATGGAGGAGGTGGATGTGGTCATGAAACCCTCGAGGGCAAGCTCCAAACATGGCTCCATCTTCTTCTTCCTCTACTTCTTCTTCTTCTTTGAAGCTCTAGAGAGAGAGAGAGTATGTATCTAAAGATGGGTTCTTGAGATGTGCATCCACTTCCCTTTTATCTTCTAACCCTAATCTCTAACTTTCTAAAGTGAGAAAGCTACAACAATATAGAAATTACAATGAAAATATTTGAATGTCCTTACAAAAATGGTTGAATCCCTCTTATATACAAGGCTTGAGAGCCCAAAAATGTGAGAACTCGGCCCTAGAATCTCCCTTTTCAAGCACAGCCCGAGTTGGTTCGAAATGAGCTTCAGATCTGTTTTTTAATAAGTTTCGCGAACAGTTCGATCGATCAGACTTTTCTTCGATCGATCAGAGTTCGATCGATCTTGGTGTGATCGATCAGGAATTCGATTGATCTGGGTTTGATCGATCAGACTTGGCAGATTTTCAGCATCAGCCTCATTTTGCTCCAGATCAGCCTCCATTTGCTCTAGATTCTCACCAAGACTTAGTTTGACTCCAAAAAGGCCTTAAGAAGCCATTTTTAGCTTGTTTTAACTTTATTGACCTAAAAAAGGAATAACACAAAATTAGTCTAAAACGAAAAAATAAGATAGATAAAGGTCCTAAAACACTCAAGTTTAAGGGGTTTAAAAGCGCACTTTTCAGCGCTTATCAAAGAGCAAAAAAAGGTAAAAACAAAAACAAATATGTTGTTCAAATGCAGGGTTTATTTCAAACATAAATTCAAGATCTTAAGCAACAGGAATGCTTGGTGAACGAAGCAGAAGGAGAACGATTGGAAATTGAAGCCAAAATCCAAATTAGTGGGTGTTTTAGTTTGGAGCAAGAGATGACTAAATAGCTGAAGATAGATTCAAGAAAAAGGATGGTTAAATATGAAAATGAAATATCTCAAGTGGAGTTTGTAAGAGATATATAATGCTTAAAGATTCAATTAAGTCTCCAGCAAAAGATTGAATTGCATGGATCATTGCACAACAAATGACAATCTTGAATAAATTCAGTCCAAGGGGGTGGTCATATTAAACTACTTTTTATTGGGTTTTTTTTTTTTTTTTTGGTTAGAAAATATGAAATTAACTTTTATTTTATTTATTTATTTGTAAGAAAATATGTAATGCCTTTTTATTTATTTCCTTTAAATTTGTCAATAAATATATGAGATGCAAAGAACTCTCTCTTAGGGTTCGTTTGATTAGCATGTACTAGTTAGAAAAGAAAAGAAAATGAAAATTTTTAAATTTTGTAGGAGTTTGATTAGCAAGAAAAAGGAAATTTTTTGAAGAAAATCACTTCTCATAACCACCTAATTTTCCCATTGATTTTTCTTCCCAAAAAGACATGAAAATTTTGATTTCTTGAGAAAATTTTGTGAACCCCCAATACTGTTCTTTCTTTAATGGTAAGCTGCATACCATTCAAAGCATAAAATAGTAATATTAGATAATTTTCTTGCAAAATTTTCATGGTAACCAAATTGATGTTGGAAACATAATTTTTCTTTACTTCACTTCACTCTCTTTTATATTCACCTTCCAAAACGAGTTTTCGTCTAACCAAACGACCTTAGAACATAACAGTTAAGAACAAATAAAAACAAAAAGTTGGAAAAATAATTTTACACACATTTCTTTAAAAAAATAATTAAAAATAAATTTTAGTTAACCCAATTAGCACCATATCGACTGACCGGGCCGCCAAGCTGGTCACTTTAGATAGAGGTATGAAGGGATAAATTGAGAGCACGATACTAAAATTATAATAATAAAATAAATCGTTAAATAAATGTTTGACTTAACATCGAATCAGAATCTAATTAGCTAATGGATTGTATTGGTGGACGCTTGTTCATTTATCTAAAAATTCAAGTTATTGGGTAGTATTACATACTCACTTATTTATACGTACTTCAATCCCCACCCGAATCTGGATAACGCCCTCTTTGTGATCAGGCCACTTTGCCTTCAGGCCGAGTGCTTGGCATGACACTAAATACAGGAATGAATCTGACTCTGATACCAACTATAATAAGTGAATACTTACTCATTTCCTCAAAAAAATTAAACTATTGAGTAATCCTGCATACTCAATCATTTATACACATCCAACGCCCAAATGTACTTGGTAGTGCCTATATTGCTCTTAGAGGCTAAAAGTTGTCCTTGACACCTTGTAGTACAAGGCCCTTGTGACACGATGAGCCATTCCCAGTAATTTCTCATCCATATGTCAAACTAATCACACACACTGTCTAAACCAAACCATGGAAAACTTCAATGCAACCCAGAAAGACGCCCAAACCCCAAAGCAGATCTTCATATTATCCGGCCAGAGCAACATGGCCGGCCGAGGCGGCGTCAACAAGCACAAGCACTGGGACGGCGTCGTCCCGCCCCCGTGCCGCCCCGACCCCTCCATCCTCCGCCTCAACGCCCACCTCCACTGGGACCCGGCGCGTGAGCCACTTCACTCCGACATCGACGCCAAGAAGACCTGCGGCGTCGGGCCCGGAATGTCCTTCGCCAACGCCGTCAGGGAGCGCGTGGGGATCGTCGGCCTCGTTCCCTGCGCCGTGGGCGGCACTGCCATAAAGGAGTGGGCGCGTGGGGCCCACCTGTACGAGAACATGGTGAAGAGGGCCAACGCCGCCGTGAAGGGCGGCGACGGCGGCGAGATCAAGGCGTTGCTTTGGTATCAGGGAGAGAGTGATACGTCGTCTCAGCATGATGCTGAATCTTACAAGGCTCATATGGAGAAACTCATCCATGATGTGCGAGCAGATCTTCACTCACCTTCGCTTCCAATCATTCAGGTCAGTTATATATACCATATATATATACATACACACACATATACATTGTATATATACACATATATAATCATCTATAATTGTTTGGTGGTATATGCAACCTATAGTTAGAAATGCATTAAGGGATTGAAATCATTCTGATAGGATTTGGGGATAGATTCAAAAGATAGTTTAAAACCCTCTCTATTAGGGGCAGATTTGAAATGACAGTTTAAAACCCTCACTCCAGATTGGGGGTGAATTTGGAAAGATAGTTTAAAATCTGTTGATTAATAATAAATATATAATAAATATTTTTTATTAGCTAGTATATATTTTTCCCTTATTTTCATAATAATTTTAAATTTTAGTAACTATTTTTTTTATTTTTTTTTATTTTTTTATTTTTTATTATGATTGTTAATTATTTATCTATGCTTAGAAACTTTTTAAAATTTTATTCAGGGTTAGAATTGTTTTTCTTACAGAGTGGTGTTACTTAGGGCCGTATTGATATGCTCTTTATTTTAGGTGTTTTGTTTTTGGCCCGTGTTGCTTTATTGTTATGATTTTGGGCCATGAACAGTTGTCAAAACAAAAAAAAACAACTTTTTGAAAAAATAACTTTTTAGCGTTTTGGATTTGGACTACTGTTCACGAAGTATTTTAGTACTGTATAAAAATAAGGCCACACCAAATATGATTTTGTTGCCAAAATTGACACGGTAACGGTTCAAAAACAAAAACAATAGAAACAAAACGCATGCTAAAAGGTGTCAAAGTAAATTGCTTCACCGACAACTTTTAATTGGTTGTGGATGTAAAATGGTAAGGAAATGGGATCCAATTACGACACTTAATTACTTATCTAAGATTAGATACTTTTTAAAAAAATTATTAGAGATTGAATGTTTTTCTTAAGCCAAAGTGTCAAAGTAAATTGTTTGACCTATCACTTTTGATTAGAGTCTTCGATCATGTATAACAAATATAATTTAGTGGGGATCCCACTTTCTTTCTTATACTACAATTGTCACTTTGTTTTGACAATTGTAAAGTTGTTCCATTGTGAGTTTGTGACCTCTAGTTTACCGCTTCGAAACGAAAACAATCTCTTCATATGCGGAGTTAAAAGCTATTTATAGGCTCCACCGTGACTAGAGTATCATGTATTGTGTAAGCCCTTTTTTATAACAAGTGTGATCCTAACCTATTCCAATTTCGATGTGAGTCGGGATGAATTTAAAAAGAAGTTTTATTTTGTGGGACAAATTTGGAATATGGGTGCCCCCACACTGGTTACAAATAATGTATAAAGAAGTGATGGATGACACGATAAATTCGGACTCGTTTAGACTCAAATGGTTCCGAAAATGTATCATTACTCTAATGTTTAATTTGCATTGTATTGTGTGTGAAAAAAACAAAATGACAGGTTGCGATTGCATCAGGGGATGTGAAATACATGGAGAAAGTTAGAGAGGCGCAACAGGGAATAGATATTCCAAATGTTGTGTGCGTGGACGCCAAGGGTTTGGAACTGAAGGAAGATCATCTTCACCTAACCACAGAGGCTCAGGTTGAGTTGGGCCATTTGTTGGCTGATGCCTATCTCAAACATTTTGCACCTCAACAACACCCACCCACTTCTGTTTCTTCATCTTGAAGACGGCCTCCCTATGTCGCTGTGTGTCTGTGTGACCTATGTATGTGTGAGTGATGCTTTTGGCTGTGTTCTTGATGGCATTGATTTTAGTTTCAACTGAATTTCATTTAATTAAAATAAGATTCTTCTTGAAAATTGGTTCCAAACATAGGATTCAATATGATGGACCATGCTGTACAACAATCAAGTACAATATATGTTTGTTTGTGTATGTTTCTTTTACCGACATTAATTATTGTACAACACCCTGCTTTACAACAAAATGGAAGGCGCTGAGCAAAGGGCCTATGGGAGTCACAGTTGGATATTGATTATGTTGTGATTATGACTCTTGCCTAACAATTCGAAGGTTGGGAGTTTGAATTTTTTTGAAGTCATTTTTAGAGAATTTTTCGATAATTGTTTGGTGCGTTTGGGATGGTGGGCTGTAAATTAGTGATGGGATTTTATTGTAATTAAGACTCTTACCTAACAATTTGAGGGTCTGGAGTTTGAATGAGTCACTCCTAGAGATTTTTTTTTTTTTTTTTTAATAATTGTTCGGTACATTTGGAAAGGAAGATTACAAGTGTCGGATGATGAATTATGAAATTTTCTAAGAGGCCGGACATCACCATCGTAAAAAAAAAAAAAAAAATGTCTATGAAAGCTTAAGCTAAGTCATTTCTCTAATACCCCTCTTGGCCGGGCGCTTGGCGCGATACCAAATCAAAGAAATGGGTGTGATTCCAACTAACTGTATTGAGCTGACTATTTAACAATCTGATCTAAAAATTTAAGATATTAGTTGAGGCGAATAACAATCTATTCACTTCATCCCATATATGATATGGGACAAGTCAACAGTGGTCCTCATAATCTTTGTTTAAATTGGTAAGATCCTAACCAAATTTGAAAAGCTAAGAATCAATCAATCACGAGTCATTCACAATTTTTATAACTTTTGCTAATTTTCCTATTAAAATCCGTACCCTGTTTTGTGACATGTCCCTCTCCAATCCTATGATAATCCTATGGTAATTCTGAGTCAACCTAACATTTCTGGTCGACTTGATCAATCAAACAACAGTTTGAGCATGAGTTAAGTCCATATTGAATCTATGAACTTGACTCAAGATCAAGATTTGATTACTATAAAAAAGAATTTGATTATAGACCTAAACAAGCGTTGGTAAAGAGTTATATTCATGATCTTTCAACTAGTTTTTTTTTTTTTTTTTCAATGAACTTGTTCACGAGTCAAGGAGTTAAGGAATTGTGATTCAACTCATTTTACAAATTTAAACATGTTTTTGGAGTTTGTCTTGTTTAATTAGTAAATGAACAGAATTAATGGAACTCGTAGAAAGTTGAACCTAAATTATTAATGAATAATCACCGAAAATAAAATTAAATTATTGACGAACGACTTGATTCACTTGCGTATTTGTGATAATTTTATTATAACCCATTCTACCTGGATAACCAATAATATATATATATTTTTTTCAGAAAATAAAACTAATATAACCAATAATATTTGAATGCAAAGCAAATGACTCTGAGTTTCTCGTTGATATAAAATATAAATGAGTAATTACAGGGAGAAAGAGGGCTCACTAACCCGTATACTCGTCGTTTTCTTAAAAACAAAGTTATGAACTTTTTTTTAACTCTCCAATCTTTCTCGAATATAATTTAAGATTAATAGTATTTTCTTCTTCTTTTTTAATTAAACAAACAAACATGACAAGAAGTTGACACTATCTTATCACCGTAACGTTATTCATTTTCTTCCTTTCCATCATGATATACAAAATCAACGCAAACGATCAATAAAATCAATAACTTAATTTCATTATTTTGGTTGTTTTGATTCTTAGTTAGCAAAAATGCATATTATACACGTATGTATGTATAATTTTTTAAAAAAAAAATCAATTTTTTGTATGAATTTCTAATCCTAACAAATAATACTCGTATTTTTAGTTTAATAATATAAAACATGTCTTAAACGTTTCGCGGATTATACATTATGAAAATACTTCACTTACATAATTTTTTTATATTAAAAAAGTGTACATTGCTTTTCATTTTATTAGAAGAAAAATTTAAATGTTATAGCAATGTAACCTACGTTGAACTAGTTTCACCTATGTTGGAATGATTATAAACCTAGGGTAATAGTTAGTTTTCACTTGCTCTTTCATGACAAACTCCCTTTTAACTCACTAAGTGGTGGAAGGTTATTTAGATCGAGTTAAATTTTCATTCATCACACACATTGAAAATATCATCACATTACATCAACATCACATTAAGCGAAAGCATTATCACATCACATCAACATCAACATATATATGAAGATAACAATCATATACCATAACACAATATTTTACATGATTCATCAACTCTAAGGCTGCATGGAAAGATATTTCACTATTATGAATCAAAGAAAAGAATATACAACCAGATATCAAAATCTCACACAGTCACTCATTATCTCAAATACTCTCTCATTTCTTCATAACAATCATCCGTAACATTTACCCTTTCTCTATCTACCCAAGAATTCCACAATTTACGGTTCAAGAATTATTCGAATGAGAAATAATTTTCGAATACTTGGTTTTGTCACGTCACAATGCAAACAAATCGAACTTGTCTCTCTTGTATTTTTATGTTCCATTTATACATAAAATTTTGAATACACACACGCGCACGATGAATGATTAATTATGTATTTATATCTACTTTGCTAAAACAATATACAAAATTGTTTCTCAAAGTAAAAAATATACTCCGTCCAATATTAGTTGTCTATCTTTCTTTTATTTAATTGTCCTAAAATAATTGTCCAGTTTAAAAGGTCAAAGTATCTTTCCAAAGTTATCATTCACATAGTAAAATTTTAAAAGTCTCCCAACATAATAATACTCCGTGATATACATATTAAAATTTTGAAAGGATTAATACATTAATTACATGTCCTCTAAAAAATTATAAAATTGAAAGTGGACATTAATATGGACATATAAATATGTTATTCCATAAATGTGTTATGATGTTATTACAAGCATAAAATCTTTTCATTTCTCTTTTAATACAATTTAAATATTGAAATATGATTGAAAAAAGTTAAAAAAAACAGTATGAAAATAATAATAATTATAATATGTACACATCATTATTTTAATTTGATTTAATAATAATTATTATAATATATAAATGCTACCATATACGTTTCACTTTGTTTTATGCTGAATTTTTAATCGTATTTTTTGTTATAAGAAATAATACAGTACCATATTTCATATTTGTATGTACTGTTTGGATGCATGAATAAAGATCCACTTGGATTAAAAAATCACAATACCCACCAACTTTCTCACCAATTATCAGCGCTTGCGACTTTAGTACTCACTCACTCACTCACTAATCTCTCTCTCTCTGAATTACTGAAATCCCACTCTAAACACACCACCAACCCACCCAATTGAAAAGCTGTATACTCCATCAACAACCTCCATATAGATATATATAAAAACATATATAGAGAAAAAAATAGAGAGAGAGAGTACTACACAATTTAGCAATGGCGGCGTCTGCTTACTCGACCCTTCTCTCCAGCACTTCATCTCTCAACAAAACCTCATCCTCGTCTCTTTCATGGAAGATTCCCCACTCCTCCGCCTTCGGCGTCTCCGTCGCCTTCTCCCACCGCCGCCGAGCCGCATCGTCGTTCGTCGTGTTGGCGATGGACGCCAAACCTACCGTCCTCGTCGCCGAGAAGCTCGGGGAGGCCGGGCTCAACCTGCTCAAGGACTTCGCGAACGTGGATTGCTCGTACAACTTGAGTCCCGAAGAGCTTTGCACGAAGATCTCGCTCTGTGACGCTCTGATCGTGCGCAGCGGCACCAAAGTAAATCGCGAGGTGTTCGAGTCGTCCGGCGGAAGGCTCAAGGTCGTCGGACGCGCCGGGGTCGGGATCGACAACGTGGATCTCGCCGCCGCGACGGAGCACGGGTGCCTTGTGGTGAACGCTCCGACGGCGAACACTGTTGCGGCGGCCGAGCACGGAATCGCGCTTCTCACGGCCATGGCTCGCAACATCGCGCAGGCCGATGCGTCTGTGAAAGCAGGTGAGTTTTACTTGTTCTTTTATCAACTCTTGAGTTCTTTTACGCATTTCTTCGAACAGGTTGTGCTTAAAAGGCTTTTATCTGCATGTTATAGTGAAGACTAATTTAGATCTGCTTTATGAGTGTGGGGTTACATTTTGATGTGGAAATTGAAGGCTGTGTGACAGTCACATTAGCGGAGACTTTTCAGATCTGATTTGGGTGGTGGTTGTGACTATTGGATCTGTTTTTTATGACATAAAGAATGGTAAGCTTCAACAAAATCAAAACTTTTTGACATGCACATAAGAGATGGAAGTTACTTAATGATTTTGCAACTTGGGCACTGTTTGGTTAACATTTCAATATGGGTGTGCATATATTGGATTCTAAAAGTGAAAAGGCAACACAAGAAGTTGGAAAAAGCGTATAAAGCTGTGATCTTTGATGAACTACAGAGGTTTGTCCTGAGAAGAAGAATAGTTGCTTTTCACATGGAAGAAAAAAGATATTCGCCACGGGGATAACCACTCCACCATCGGACAACTGATTGAAGTATGAAGTAGTATCATCACTGCACTGGTCTGTTTAACATATCAATCTGCTCACACCCCAATAGGGATCCCTCTCCTACAGTTGGCACCAATTCTAGTATTTCATTGGAAATACTGTTCTCCGTCAATCTTACTTTGTCTATCATTGCAATGACCACTCTATTGCCATTGCCCTCTTCGACACCATGATCACTATTGCTGTTGTAAGTAAAAGTTCACCACTTCACCTGCCCATTCTCGTCTTAATAGTTAAATCCTAATTTCAGTAAAAAATTAAAAATATTATATCAACTTTTTCATTTTAAAAGAAAGTAAAAAGAGCAATGTTTTGGTTACTGGCCAACATTTTCTTTTACCTTCTTTTTATTTATTTATTGAAAGTACACTAAGAACACACAACTTAGTGGCTATTTACTCATTTAACATTTCTCGTGATTCTGATTTTGAGAAACCTACCGTGAAACTTATTTGTAACTTCACCACAAAATTACAAAAAAAATAAAGAAAGAACTTATTTTGTACTACTTATCAAAAAAAAAAAAAAACTCAGTAGTATGTCCACAACCAATATTATTCAGGTATCCTACAAGTCGATATACAGTTATTTGATCAAATTAGCTTGCATATCTTGTTTCTATTTTTATTTGATTTATTATTATTTAAATCAGCTCAGACAACTGCCACCATTGGAGCTCCCCTTGCTGTGACCATTGAATAACCATTATTATTATTTACTGTTATTATTATTATCATTTTGGAATCATTTGCATATGAACCTTTTTTCTGTAAGATGTTAGATGCTGATAATCATGATTGTCATACACTGGCTTTAACTAGCATCTTGGAAATGTTAAATCCTTTTAATAATTTGGTCGATCCAGGGAAATGGCAGCGGAACAAATATGTGGGTGTTTCCCTTGTTGGCAAAACCCTTGCTGTGATGGGCTTCGGGAAGGTTGGAACAGAAGTTGCCAGGCGTGCCAAAGGGCTTGGTATGCATGTGATTGCCCATGATCCGTATGCCCCAGCTGATCGTGCCCGTGCAATAGGCGTGGAGCTTGTGTCTTTTGATGAAGCCATATCATCTGCAGATTTTATCTCACTTCACATGCCTCTTACTCCGGCTACATCAAAGATTCTCAATGATGAAAATTTTGCAAAGATGAAGAAAGGAGTTCGGATTGTCAATGTTGCTCGTGGTGGAGTGATTGATGAAGAAGCTTTAGTAAAGGCAGTGGATGCAGGCATTGTTGCTCAGGTTCTTGCTTTCACATCGTTGGACAACAAAAAAATTTGTTTTTGTGGAAGAAAGTGACTAATATTATCTCTTTCTTGCAGGCTGCACTCGATGTCTTCACAGAAGAGCCACCACCAAAGGATAGCAAGTTGGTGCAGCATGAGAACATAACCGTAACTCCGCATCTTGGTGCAAGTACTATGGAAGCTCAGGTGTGTTAGATGATTGTTATTAACGTATAGTCATGCTGAAGTATTTTTTCTTACCATGTCATTGAAATGTTTGATTTTGATGTGTAGGAAGGAGTGGCCATTGAAATAGCTGAAGCCGTTGTTGGAGCCCTAAAAGGGGAGCTTGCTGCTACTGCAGTCAATGCACCAATGGTTCCTGCTGAGGTATCATTAAAATGTTGCTCTCTTTTATTTTTATTTTTTAATTTTTTTGTAGTATTGTCCTTATTCCCTCTATTCTCAAGATCCACATTTTCTTTGAAAAGGGAATTCCATGCTTAATCCTTTCTTTCTTTTTCATTTTAAATACATTTTATAAAGTGGTGCACAATGACAGTTTTTGCAGATGTTGATTGGATTTCAATTTAGATTTATTATTATTATTTTTTTTAAAAACAAATGAACTAGTTTTAAATTTAAACGGACAATATTGGTGTTAATCAGCCAACTCAGTATTCAAAGAATGAGTAATTGTTTATTGATGTCATCTAATAAAAAGTTCCTTTCTCATCTTCATCATCATCATCCTTGCCATAATCCTATATGAATGGGGTCGGCTCCAATCCTTCCCATACTCTGAAATCTAAACATGAGGGTGGTTATTGACCATTTACTCTTTGGATGAACGGTCATTCTAGTTCTCTTTTTTTACCATATATTGTAAAAAAGAGGGTGTTTGTTGACCATTTACTCTTGGATGAACACTCATTCTAGTCTTCCTACTTCGGTAATATTTACTCTTGTTCTCAATTTGGAAATCTGAAATTTTATCATCCTGAAAAAAGGACTAGCAAACCATGGAGTATGGAGTTGGATTATTTTATAGCATCATTTAAGAGTTTCTATTGGATAGTGACAAAAAAAGGAATTGCGCTCCAGCATTCTACTCTGGTTAAAAATGGCATTGTCATCCACATTAGAGCTATTTTTATGTTTTATCTGGTCTGAAGGATAATGGTCTAGAATCTAGATGTCTACTTTAGTATGTTTGTGTGCCCAGATAAACTTTTTATTTTTTATTTTTTTTGATTTTTAAATCAGGAACTTTATTAGTGTAGAGACAAGAATCTGGATAGGAAAGTAGAGATTGTGACTAAACATTTGATTGACTGCGGTTTACCACATTTCTGTTTTGTTTAATACTTTCTCCACCCCAAAATAAATGTTACGATTTCCATTTTGGGATGTCCTAAAGTAAATGTCCACTTTTCTTCCCCTTAAAAAGTTGGGAGTCTCAACCAGCGACATATATTTTGGAATGGAGGGAGTACTTCTTCTTAATTGACAATAACTTTGTGGAAATTTCTTTGGAAAAATGATTGAAGCGTGTTGGTTTTATAATTATTATTCCTTCTAAACTGTAGGTTCTATCAGAACTGAAACCATATGTTGAACTTGCTGAGAAACTTGGTAGACTGGCTGTTCAACTAGTAGCAGGTGGAAGTGGTGTGAAATCAGTAAAAGTGACCTATGCTTCTGCTAGAGCCCCTGACGACCTCGACACAAGGCTGCTCCGTGCTATGATAACCAAGGGTCTTATTGAGCCTATTTCCAGTGTTTTTGTAAACTTGGTGAATGCAGATTTCAGTGCTAAACAGAGAGGATTGCGGATATCTGAAGAACGAATCCTTCTGGATGGTTCGCCCGAAAATCCACTTGAGTTCATCCAGGTTCAGATTGCCAATGTGGAATCAAGATTTGCCAGTGCCATTTCCGATTCTGGGGAGATTAAAGTGGAAGGACGCGTGAAAGATGGGATTCCACATTTGATGAGGGTAGGATCTTTCGAAGTGGATGTGAGCTTGGAAGGTAGTATTATACTCTGCAGACAGGTTGATCAGCCAGGTATGATTGGAAAGGTCGGTAGCGTTTTAGGAGAGGAGAATGTGAATGTGAGTTTTATGAGTGTCGGAAGGATTGCTCCACGAAAGCAAGCTGTAATGGCAATTGGAGTGGACGAGCAACCCAGCAAGGAGACTCTGAAGAAGATCGGAGAGATTCCAGCTGTCGAAGAGTTTGTATTCCTTAAGTTATAAGGTGTCATCTATCTATATCTTTCCATTATGAATTAGTGCCCAATTTTGATTATTTTTGTTGTGTCATGTGGTGGTAGCTTTAAGGAGGTGAAACGAATAATGGTTGTGCAATTTATATTGTACTTTATTGAGTTGCTATCTTTATATCAAATTTTGTTTCAACTTTGCTTTCTCATAGATGAAACAGCGTAACAGTATACTTTGTTTTGTTGGTATTTTCTTCATATCGAATCGTGTTTCAACTTTCTTACAGATGAAACAGCTTAATGTAAGCCTAGGTTATTTTGTTATGTGTACAGAGATGGTGCCGTTAACTGATTAGAAACATGATTCTGGGCACTAGAGGAAACCCTAATTTATGTGAGTGATTGAAATGTCACTTTGTACAGTTTGGGGTGCACTGATAGGCTGCTCTAAGGTTAGCTGTTTAATCCGTCAAAACCAAGCTGTTTCTTTACCTTGGCATTTGTTTAGGGCGACTCTGAACCACGGTGAGAAAGTTAAGACGGGGTGTCATCTTTTCCATGGCCGTTTGTTAACACATGGATTCTCAGATGTTCATTTTATTCGCTTCGTTTTGGTTACAGAAAGGGAGCATTATCACAAAAACTTGTATACTCGACCTTTAGAGCAGCTTACAACAATTGTGCTACCCGTGCTGGTGTTCTCTGTTGTCTTCCACCTGAACTAGAATTTTCATTTTCCTTATTAACCACATGTAAGAAACTCTTTAGCACCATTTGTTGCAGAATCTATCAGATACTTCTCTTGAAAAGAAAGCACTATTGGTTGGTTTGTGTATTTGCTGTAATTTTAGCCATGGACAAGGCTCTAATTTTACTGGTGCAACCACGTGCAATATTAAGTTGCTTTTTCACTAGGCCGGCAAGTGCCATGCAGCCCAAGTGGTTGGGGTTGCTCCTGTCCTGAAGCCCGTGTCCGAGGGGTTGCTCCTGTCCGGAAGCCCGTGTCCGAGTTGCACCCTCGCCCTCTCCTTTAATCACTTACCCTTATCATTCTTGCCATGAAAAAAAAAAAAGAAAAAAAAAGACGGAGAGCTGAAACAATTCAAGAGCTTTGCAGGGAAGGCATTATTGCAGGCCTCCAGCAAACTTGAATTTCACCATTTTGAATAAATGGCGAATTTCACTTTTTTAACAAGTGAGTAAAAATAGGTGAAATTCATCATTGAAAATGGTTAAATTTTCGAAGTAAATATGATGAAATTGAAAAGTGTACTGAAGAGGATTGGGATCCCAGATCCAGATCCTACTCTTATTCGTATCACAAGAACCCACCTTAACCAAAGGAGTTTTCCATTAGGTCCTCTATACATTCAGAAAGATAAATCTACTGCGGGAAACATTTCACCATTCCAGTTGTGCTGGCAAAATGATTTTTATTCAACTACGATCAAAAATTACATTTTCAATAGAAGGCATCATGATGTAAAATATATGGGGCATCAATCTAATTAACCCTCTCTTTTCTTAATCAATCTAACTAATATCACCATCCCTCCATCAAGCTTCTGTTGTTTCTAGATAGGGTTTTGTACATATAACTTTCAGTTTCCCAACATTTTTGCCATTTAGATCAAACAAATGCGTATGGCTACATCTGCCGGCTACTGCCCCTCTTGATGCAATACCATTTATGAACCGGAAAGGAACGGTGCCTGAGCTAGAGTTGTGGGGATGGAGATGTGGAGATTATGAACTGCCAAATATGCAGCTATACCAGCAGCATAACCAGCGAAAGCAAAACCACTAACCTGCAGAAGGAGAATGACTTCATTTATGGCAAGGAAAAGTTAAATTATTCATTAAAAAAAAAAGAGTAACATCGAAAGAAGTACATACCTTCCGTAAGTACCAAAAAAAATCCACCTTTTCCATACCCATAAATGCAACTCCAGCTGCAGAGCCAATAACCAGCATGGATCCACCTGTGCCAGCACAATACGCAACCAACTGCCAAAACTCGGAATCTTGGGGGAAGGAGGTGAGATCATACATTCCCATTGTTGCTGCAACCAACGGAACATTGTCTATGATTGCAGACACAACCCCTATTGCACTTGCAATCAGTTCAACATTTGGAATCTGAGCGTCAAGATAATTTGCCAATTCCCGGAGAACTCCTGATGCCTCTAGACTGCAAATTAAGTCTCAAGATTCATCAGAATAATTTTACCTCCTGGTACCATCCCAACAGATGAGAAAGTTGCAAAAAGATGTAAAAAGTTGAATGTGTTGCCCTCAACATGTTATGAAATAACAGTTCGTCTCATGAATAAATTGCAGAATCAAATGCTTATTACACTCAAAATCATGCACGTCACACTAGAGATAACCTGATGCTTCATGCAGTTATAAAACCACGGATAAAAGAAAGTGGTAGAAATATTAATCAAGTTTAGACAACCAACAGAGACACTCAAAATCATGCATCTCACTCGGGACGGAGCCAGAAACTTATGTGAGGGGGCAATAGTGAATTTTTTTAGTAATTCTAGTGGGGGCAATGTTGAAATTTCAAAGGTATATAATTAAAAAAGGAAATTTTAACATGGTATAATACTGTAAAAAAAATTTCTCAGTGCCCCCACTGACTTGAATGTAGATCCGTCCCTGATCTCACTAGTATGATAACTTGATGCATCATGCAGTCATAAAAATGACGGATAAAAGAAAGTGACAATTACGAAAAATGCATATTGCATTTTTACTGAGATTGTAGCTATCAATTGTGAGTGATATAGCAAGAGAAAATACACTTCAGGTAATTATAGTTCAAATCATTATTTTTTTTAAACGCAGTCTGCAACGATTAACTGTACAATGCATTATTAGGGCCTATTAATGATCTTCAGACCTCCCCCAACAAAGAAGAACTATTAACCTGCGTAACCCAATTGAATGTCAATAACCTGCTTCAGAAAAATTCTATAAACAAGGTTGCAGTTAAGTCCATTGGCCAGAAACTTGCACTGAAATTCGTGCCAAAAGAAATGAGATTGCTTCAAGTATATAAATATCTAACATGAAAAAAAGGGATCAAAGCCTTATCGAATGAAGTGCACATAGGCAAGGATCAGGAGAAGAAAGCTGCAAAATTCATGGCTTCCTATGCAAAGTAGGAGTTCTGTAGCCAAAATCAAATAAAATAACCTTGTCAAGCAATTGAGACAGTCAAAATCATTATAACTTTTGGGCAATAAAGTGATCCATAAAATTTCCTCAAGCTTTCAATATTATTGCAGCAAAGAGACAACTTATTGGCATATGTTCACTTGAAACCAGGGTTGTTCCAAGCCAGTAGTAACCCAGCAGTCTGCAATTTGACTCACATGATCCACAGGACATGCCTCCTGCCATTTTCAGAACATCAAATCTACTTATGAAAAAACAAACTTTGTTTTTCTTTTCTTTCAACCTTTTACCTTGGCACAAAGCATTAAACTCAAATAAAATATACTACGTAACAGAAACTAATTTTTTTGTCAAAGATCACAGACCATAAGAAAATTTATTAATATTCTTGTCGTTATCGTCACCATCATCATCCATTAGTTTTAATTATAGATGTTCAAGACATCCTAGGCTTGCCTATTTAGTTTGCTGGTTCTCTAAAAGTTCATCATCATCATCATTGCCTTCCTCCCATACAAGCGGGGTTGGCCACATGTTACATCTTTTTCCACTCTTTTTCTATCATAAGCAATTTCTCCTACTAGATTTAATTTTTTAAAATAATTTCTTATCACTTTATTCCATATTAGTTTTTCTCAACCTCTTTGTCTCTTACTGTCTATGATAATCAATCTCCCTCTTCTCATGGGTGCATTATAGGCCGGCATTGAATACGCCCATACCACCTAAGTCTACTCTCTCTTATTTTCTCACTAATAGGCGCCACACCTAATTTTCTCCTAATACTTTGATTGTTAATTTTATCTCTCCTAGTTATTCCTGCCATCCATCTTAACTCCCACATTTTCACCACATGAATGCATTGTTCGTGTTGCTTTTTTAACGCCCAATATTCCGCTTAATAACAAATGGTGACAAAATAACTAAGAAGAGCAATTTAGATTCGTACAGTAAAAAACAAATTTATAACAAATTTATCCAATTTTTGTAACGATGACAGCTTAATAGAAATGACAACGATGTGAATTTGACAGAGACAAGAAAGTAGCTTTAGATGCAGTACAGAGGAAGTTTCATTAAGCTTCATAGAGAACAATTATATCTGTCTCATTCAATGGTCAATTGATGATACAGAGTCGTGACTAAACCAGTTAGGTTGCCAGACCAGGTACAAAGTGAGGCGTGATTTCTGAACCTTGACCTTTCACAATGCTAAACTGATGAGAAAAAAGATACTCTGACATATTCTTATGTGCATTTGATTCACATTGTAGAACAGTACAAAAGTTTAGATGGTATTCTTGTATACCTGCTGACAGACAAAAGGATTCCAAGGAAAAAAAGTACTCCTTGAGTGTCAATGCGTGATAAAGCCTGTGGTACTTTCAATCGTTGTCTTTCAGATTCACCATAATGTATAGCATCTGTCAGGATCCAAAGAACTCCAAGCCCAAGCAGCATACCCATGTAAGGAGGTAGCCCTGTTAAAGCCTTGAACACAGGGACAAACACCAAAGCTCCAATGCCTACAGAAAAAACAAGCTGTCCCCGAGGGGCCACCTGTTCGGATGCCAGAACACTGGAAGAGTCCTGCTCCTTCCCGTTAACTTCACTGAACGAAAAACAGAAGGGACAAATGATTTCTTCATAATCAATTAATCATGAATCTTAATTCAACCTTTCAAACTCAAAGTTCCTCAACTTTGGTTCGACTGTAAAAGAAAAATACCTAGTAAAGGACATCAAAGCCAGTGGGACAACCAGAGAAACAGCGGAAGGTATAACCAAGTCCTGTAAGCAGAAAAAATTCAATTATAGAAATCATTTAGCTCCGCCGCTGCTACATTATTAGAATTTCTGACGATGATGAAATAAATAGAGTTCCAAGCCTCAAACTGAAAACATGAACTAAAGCACTGCAATTGGTCACTTTTTAACGGTCTAAGACCAAAGGGCCACACATCGTCATCGTCATGATCATCCTTGGCTTTATCCCATGAATTATTTCAACTGCTTACTTAAAACATGGTTGTAACTTTTTTATTGCAAGACCATATGTATTTTATGCAGTGATCAAATCCAAATTATAATTTATTTGATCAGTTTACCAATAAATGACTATTTATGTAGGTAGTTATGTTGATTTCTTAAACTAACAAGAATTTTTATTCCAATTCCTTGAGTGGCTGAAGTTTAACCCAAAGTCGATGTCCTGAAAAATTCAACCAAAAAAATTTCCACTACCAAAAGTAGAGAGAATTTAAATTGTACAAAACCATTTGATGCCATAATCTTTTTCTGCACATTTTTATCAGTCAGACCCATCTCCCCACCCCCCAACCCCCACAACACACACACACGCAAAGGCCCCCCCATCCCCCCCAAGATGCACACCCACACAAAGGAGAAGCTCATCTCAAGATAGTCTTAAGCTCACCTACTCAGGATTGGCTAAACTATTTCTTCTCTGCCATCCAATTCTATTTTAGTTTCAGACTCAGACCCTTTGTTAATTTATACGTACTTTTTTCTCACTGCCTCAACCCAGATTGCCCACAGCATCTCTAATGTGTTTTTTTTATTTATTAATTGGTCAACCATAATTTTTTGTTTACCTTCTTTATAATAAGCCCCTTAGATAAATGTCATTTTTAATTCCCATTAAGTTTATCATATAACTTAGTATTGCTATTAAGTCACTAGAACAGGGTGACTCATAAATGCTAACACTGCTTGAGTCCTAATTGTGGTCAGGAGGAAAACAGACCTTACTAAGTTGTTTTTATTGGAGCCCCATGCTATCCCCATTTATGCTTTGCATGTAACATAAGTACGTGTCAGAAGTATGAAACACATTATTTCCTGGCAATACAAGATTCTCCCAGAAAGTAATAATCTTGGTATGCATGGTTTCCCTTGAAGATGGTAGGAAGGTACGAAAAATGAAACCACAGGGGCCAACTGTATACTAGGAGTGAGATTATTAGGACAAAGAGAAGACCTTCATCGTCTGCAACGTGGATATTTGACCATGTATCCATAACATAGTAGTGGTGACATCACCAATAGGAGTCCATGCACCACCAGCATTTGCTGCGATCACAACAACAGCCCCAAGAATCCTGTCAACCAAATTTTTTTGTGTAAGGAATATGTATTGAACAAATTGATAAACGACTTCTTGAAGACAATAGCAAAGAAGCTACTGACAATGGAATGTAGCCCAGTATAGAATTTAATGACCATGATCAAAGGTGGACTCATGAACACACAGACCAAAGCAGTAATTTGCTGAATCTGATTAGACAAAAAAATAAAGTTTCCAGCATTATAGTCAATTTGCTATGGGCTAAAAATAAACCCCAAGGAAAGAGATCGAGATTAGAAAGAATACAATTAATTATGAATTTTGCTTCTCCAGAAAGACTTCACAGCTATCTTCTATTACCACATATATAAGCTCTCTCTCTTTTTCTTTTTTTTCTCTCTCTCTTTCAGCTACCCTAAGTTATTTTGTCCTAAGTAATCCTGGTCTGGAAATAACTTGGATCCTAAATAAGTTACATGTAAGTAGATACGGATAAAACAAGTACAATTAAACCTATAAACCAGACCCATTCTAGATTAAACTAAAATTTCTAAATTACTCCCAGAAACAAAAATTAAATAAACTAATTTATTGCAAATCAGATCAATCTCTTTATAATCCCATTGGATCAGTTAAAACATATTTAACTATTATTACGTCACAATCTTTTTGTAATATAAGACTCTGCAACCGCAAGATCAATAATAATGAAAAAGTGAAATTTTTTAGAGCCACCAATATCATATACAAGGACTCCACAACAATAAGAGTTCCAAAAGAAAGGTGGAAAATTAAATTAGACACAGAATATTATTCCCTAAATCCTACTGAAACTTCTTGTTCAATAGAAGGTCCATGGTTTTCATAGACAAAAGAATTTAACTTCCACAAAGTGATGGAGCCAAGCAGCAGCACCCTTTATAATTATATTAAGGTACAGAAAGAATGCTTCAGAAGCTTAAATTCCATTTGGCACATGTTAAATTGTGTGAGACCCTCTAGGAAACTTGCATAAGTGTAGTTGAACTTATTAGAGGATCTCTTAAGTAAATTTGCTGTTAATTTAATTTAACATAAGCACATATATTTTCACAGTTGAAGATATTTTGTTAACTTCTACATTTGCCGGACACAGTTTGAAGTTAAGGTCCGTGGGTCTTTTTCTCGGTCAAGTTGAGCTATTGGATCATTTTTTGTAGTTAGGTTCATATGAGTTTTACCAGTCAAAGTCCCAATTTCTCAGTATGAAGCTTAGTGTAGGACAAGAACAGGCTCAAATAGAAGAAAGCAAATAAGAGTTTTGGGCCGAAGTTCAAATGACCAGGATTGGGGTTCAAGAGGTGTTAGTAGAAAGAAAGGATTTGAAATAAGAAAATCCTATTGGAATCACACCAATAGGGTCTAGGCATCACACCTAGGGAAGGCCTCACACCCTCATATCTTGTGAATCACTCACCAAGAAAACTGATGTAGGACAAGGGTAGCCTCAAATAGTTGAAATATAAAGGAGCTTATTGGCTGGAAATTCAAATAAGCAGAGCTATGGTTCAAGCTGTTAGTAGAGAGAACGGATTGAAAACAACAAAAACCTATTGGAATCACTCCAATAGGGTCTAGGCATCACACCTAGGGAAGGCCTCACACCCTCATAATTTGTGAATCACTCACAAAGAAATCTCAAAAGGTTTTTTTGTTTCATTCATTCACCGAGTCACCTAGTTTACATCATACCCTTCTTATAGCAACTTATGACCCTTAGATTACCCAATAATTGAGGTAATCAAAAGTCGACTCTAAAGCATAATAAAAGTAACCAATAATGACTTGCAAAATTTGACCATAATTGATGCAATTTCCCATAACTATGTAATTAACCATAATTGATGCAATTTATCATAACTATGCAATTTGACCAAACCCCCCAATTATGCAAGACTCCAAGCGGACCCCACATCCTCTAGCATGTGCCAGATTAAGGCTTAAGCCTTAGAGCCCTCCTTGCCACGCCTTTTATACACTTGCCGCTGCCACTGTTCTCTACCACTTGGAACGTAGTAGAGTTAAGACCATTTAGAGGTCTGCATAAAGACACATAATGCTTCCAGTTCGAGAGAGTAAGTTTTAAAGCCTTTCAATGTGCCAGTAAAGGCATGAAGGACACATCAACATCCAGATAATCCCATGTCGCAATTCTGTACAGGGTCTCGAAGACCTCTCAGGGATCTTCCATATGCCTCGTCTCTCGGGGAGTTTGCTTTAGCTTTAATAATCAAAGCTCTACAGTAATATTTATATCTTATACATCGCGTACATCTATTCTGCAGGACTCATTTGGAGACATTGAGGAGCTCCTATTCTAAGAATAAATCTAGAAAGTGACATCTCAATTAAGTTGCCTAGGCTTAAGGCAGAGCTTGAGGGACTTGCATATACCTCAAAATACCACTTTATGGGAGCCTAGGAGTATTTGGCTTGGAGGCTGAAGTTCATGAATTGTCAAGGAGCACCAACTCTGCATGGCCGCTTCTCGACCAGACTAGAAGAGCAGATGGAGAATCACAGTTCCTAGAGATAGCCATATGTTCTTCTCTACCAACCAGACCCTTCTCACTCCTCTCTCTCTCTTTTGTCTTGTTGCATCACTATAATTATATTAATATATTTATGTGAATATTTGACGTGTGTTTGGCCTTTGACAACATCCAGTGGTCAGTAATTCATCACCCAATGGTTATTCACTCCTCCAATGCTCTATAAAGGGCACTGAACCCTTGTGTTAGGAGGATTCAACCACCACCCTCGTATCCTCTACCTCTCCAAGGGAAACTTGAGGAAGTGCCCCTACTCACTGCCTTTTTCTATTCTCTTTGGATCTGCCTTGAATTCCACCTAGGCTGACCACCTCGAATCCTTTTACGGCACATTCAAGCAACTAATAATTGATTCTACTATGTTGCAGAGAAACACATTCATCCTTTTCAGCAGCAAGGCCTAACATTCTCTTTACAGATTGCTTGCCTTGATGCAATACAAAACACTTAGATATGATACTTAATGGACCTTATGAGTAAATCCTACATTCTTCTTCTACTTTTTCTTTTATTGTTCTTTAAATCCTTGTGCATTTTCAAAGAATTATAATCCACAACCAGATCTTATTAACCTTCTTTTTTTTTCCATATACCCTAGTGAACAAACTAATTTGTTCCTCCTGTCATACAACCATACCACTCCAAAAGAACCCATAACAGCCCAAGTTACTGGTCATGGGTACTGTATACAAGACCCAGAACAATCCCAAACTCACTCTTCCCTTTCATAATCAATGCCTCCATATCTCACCAGTTTCCTACACCTTTCAAAAACCCTTATTCCCCAATGTCTTCACTTACTTTAGCCACAAAACCTGACAATAATCAAACTCTGAAATTTAAAGCCGTCCAACAACACAAATTCTTTGTGCTTTCTCAGCTTCTTATATTATCATAAGAGACTTATGACAGTGAGACAGACGATGCATCTTTCCAAGGATATAACTTGACTATTTTCTTGTTACCATGCTCTTTTCATTAGTTCAGTTTGAAGAAGAAGAAGAAAAGAAAAAAAAAAAAAAAAAATTTACTTGCAAAGTACTATTAACTTTGACGTGCAAAAAGAGCATCAGAGGTTGGGCAGCAATTCATGATACTCTCAAGGACTTTATTATTGCCTCATAGAAATGCCATGAAACTTTTTTAAGTCATTAAGTAGATGATCGCCTTTGAGTTGCTGCAAATAGCTATTACTACATACAAGGATGATATATTACACAGAAGGAGATATGATGGTAATTTGAAAATCAGGACGGACTATTGATGAGTGCATATCAGTAGGTTTGCTTTCAAAGTGCATGTCCGGGCCTGACTCCTTCCTTCCCAACCGACCACAAAACTGTTGAGGAGATTTCCGTCTATTATGGATATGGACACAGACACGACACAAATTGAAACATCAAATCTCAAAGTAGGATATGAATACAGTGAGGACATGGCAGTAACAAAGTAAACAATTTTGTATAGAAATTATCATGGTATTTGATGAGTAAACATTATATGACAGGATCATCATAAATTGCTCAAAAATATATAATTATGGTCTCTAAAGACATATCAAGAACACGGCATGGTATACGCATGTCTATGTAAAATATATGTGCTCCTAGCTCAATGCACACTCCTTAAGTAACACCATACTCCTTTCCCTTTAAAAATATGATAAAACTTTTACAAATTTTACATGAACCTTTAATTTGAATTTCTTATGATAATGTTTTTTTCCATGTTAAAAAGAAACTCTTATAACGTGCTAGATTCATTAGTTACATGGTCTATGTGTCAAATAGTGTCTGACAAGTCAGTGTAAGAACTCCTTACAAGTGTGTGCGCTTTTTACACTGAGAGCACCTATCATGATTGTTAACAACCATCTACTCTAAAAGCTTAAGCTGTTAGAGAGGGTATAACATTTAAACCCTTCAACACACCACCTCACGTGTGGCCTTCTTTTGGTCCAACACGTGTTTAAATTTTAATTATTAGGGTGATGATGAGGTTTGAACACAATACCTTGCCTGCTCTGATACCATGTTAACAACCATCTACTTTAAAAACTTAAGCTGTTTGAGAGGGTGTAACTTTAATATTTAAATTCTACAACAATGATTATAAAGCTGAAAGAAAAAATGTGGATCTCCTGTTCAAGTCTCTAAGAAGTTCTAGAGAAATCAAATGGAGCCCCCATTAATCAAAATTGACATGGACACAAAAAGATACAGGCCAAAATTCCAATTATACCTGCCCCAGATGCTAACCCATGGAACAAGTAAAGAAGAAACTCTTAATTGACATGGTTATAAACTTATAAGCCTTTTCTACAGTAAACTTGCATACAACTCCAGCTTACAAAAACTGAGAATTCATCCCAATTAATGAAACATTCAAATTTGTAAGTAAAGTTTTATGGACCAATAAAATTGTTCCTTACAATATAAGAATGCAATTAAATCACAAAGCAACGTAATTGGGGTATTACATCATCTTGACTAAAACATCAATACGATGAACATATGCTAGGAATATGTAAGGAATTGTTTGATAAAGTGAAATTTAAGTGCTGGGAATATTTAAGTGTTGAATTTTATATGCTTGAAGTATTAAAATCTTTTATTTTTTGAAGGGTAAACTTGTCCAATTGATAAAAATTTAAACATATTCTCACTGAGTTTATTAAGTGATAAGTTCAATTCACTTAAAATTTTGACTCATTTTAAGTGAAACTTAATTTTTCATTGACGCTGAAAATGCGTTACCACAGTACTTTATTGCAAAATGACTTAACATGTTCAGTCACCTAAGTCGAGCTTTTCCACTTAACTTAAATATGTAAATAAGGTATTTGATTAATGTGTATAAGTTATTGAAATATATTTGAAAACAAATCTCGTTTTTCAAAATATGGAACCCGCAACTCTCTTTCAGTCGAAGTGTTTGGACTTTCAAGACTCCTTTCTTCTCTTACTTGAAGGTAAAAAACTCCATAAAATCACTATCAACAATTGGCAGGACTCTGATCAAAGAACAAAGCTCTAGCTTGAAGTCTCTTCTAGGTTTGTTAATTGATTTAAATTCATCTTCTTCTCCAACTTTCCATTAACATGGTTTCATATTTCAATAAATTTGATTCTACAGCACATCTGAACAAGATTTTTCAAAGGAATTTGAAGTTTATAACTTAAATTTTATGTTCTATTTTTACACTTGCAAGTGCTACCCTTAACGCAGGATAAGAACTTCTACACTTGATTGTTGTTTAAGCCATTCCTCCAGGTTTTCAATGTATTTCTAATTTCAATTACTCATCTTGAATACAATCCTAATTAACCCCAAACCTTATCCCAAATCTTCTCAGCCAATCATAATAACCTCCAAGGTTGACTCATCAAAAGTTATAAGTTGTAAAAACCAAATATTCATGAGATGAACAAGAGAAGTTTGAGAAAGATAACAGAATAATCATGCAACATTAGTGGCTTTATTAAACCATATAAGAAGACAAAGTACAATCACAAGGACATACTTTCGGTATTCCGATGGAGGTACTAGTTTCCGCAACAAAGAAACCATGACAATCGTGGAGGTCAGGTTGTCAAGGACTGAACTAAGCAAAAAGGTCACAAAACCAATCTGCAAGCAAACACAATCTGTAAATGAAACTAGAAATGATAAAGCTGCTCCACTGATCTCAAACTGCCACATGTAAATTGCTTCCAGAAGAAGGAGAAAGAAACTATCATAAGCGAATTAGAACGAAGAATTATTCTGAATGCAGCTGTTTTTAGTTCTTTCTGTCTACCAGCCACTAATACCCCAATTACATTGGTTAATCCATGCCCTCTTACAATGGAAAACATTTCAATCAATCAATAATAAATAAATAAATCCGTATTACCAAGAACCTATGGTTCAATTAAGTAGTAAATAAGGGAAGTTTTAAGTTAGGACATAGCTTAATCTTTGATTATGACAAATCTAGATTATGTCAAAGAAATGTAATTTCAAAAGAGTGCTTTCACAAAATGATGTTGCGGATGCCCCTCGAGGCACAACATGGATTCCCTAAATTTAGTTGCATGGATTCTACATATGATCTAGCAGATAAAAGTGATAATAGTAAATAGATGATGAACTCCCATAATTTTAGCACTTGAATCTTTCTTGATTAAGAGGCCCTCTGCTCATGTTACATGTATCCTTCATAAAATGACCAAAGATGTTGCTTAGATCTCTGTAATTAATACGGAGCCAAACTGTCAATATAAGAATACCATTTGGTGACGGAAAAAGACAGAAAAAGAAATGGACAATTAGATGTTCTTTTATCATCTTGTTCATTTTGAGAAATTTACTTCACTATTGTCCTTTCCAAATATGTGGTTTAAGACAATGGCCACAGAAACGTCCGGAAAGCATAGCAGGCAAAGTCTCTTTCTAGGGGTACAAGAGACTTGGAAGGCTGGCATCAAATCCCTCCTCCATCAGAATTTTGGAGGGTAGGATCAAGGGGCAGGGTCTATGGTTATGAGCAAGGGTCACTTGCAAGTTATTACCCTGAACACATAGAATGGGGAAGTAAGTTCATTATATTCTTATACAAAATTAGGACAAAAGACCTATATATTAAAGACACTAACTCCCATATAATAGTTTACAGAACATGAAAAATAGCTCCAAATATACAAATGGTCATGTGACACAATATTGTCGACTCCCACAACAACCACTCCGCACCCCTAAAAAAAAAAAAAAAAGAACAAACAATAAGAGGCTAATCCGTCTCTCTCACACACACACACATTAATTAGATAATCCTGTGCTTGCTTCAGCCCTTTAGTAGAAAACATTAACCACTTTTTGTGCGTAAGAATTTTTTTTTTTTTTTTTCTTTTGTTTGGGGGTAGGGAAAATATCTAGAAATGACTTTAAAACTACGAAGAGTCATTACCCAATCAGATACCATTAATCGAGGATGCCGGGAGGGGTAAACTGGGTACTGACCTAACCTATCTTTCCGGTAGTTCTCTAGGCTCCTTATATTGCAGTACATTTCAAATAGGATATTATTCAGATTTGGTCATAGAAGCTTTAATACATTTCATAACAGTTTCATCAGCTCTAGTTGATATCCACAAAAGAAATAGCTAAAAACATCAAAGGATACAGTACTGAAGCCGAAACAAAAGAAAGCATAGTCACAAGATTTTAAAGACCAATATGAATGAAACAACATTTGATAAAGTAAATAATTTACAGGACAGTATAGTACAGCCAAATATAGAAAACAAAAGGCAGTTAACAAAGATGTCTCAAGGAAGAAATTGTATTTAACTGAAAAAATTAACAAACGAGTAATGAAATCACTTTAAAAGGTAGCTAAAGTCGTTCTTTCTTTTATTTTATATATATATATTTTTTAAAATTAACAGGTGAAGCTAGATGGAGTCACTAACTAATCCTTGTCAACTTTATGTTCAATAATAAATTATACAACACATAGACGCAATAGAAAGGACAAGTCAGTGCGGCCATAGTACAAAAATTAGAGCACCAACCACCCAAAGGAGAGTCCGTGGCTTTCGAGTAGTTATATTGTCAGTCACTAGCTTAAATCCTTGATGAGCATCAACTATTTCCACGATGGTCATTGCACCAAGCACGAAAAACACTATTTCGCTGACTTCAGCAGATGCATGTGATAACTCCGAAACAGCTATATCAGTTGATGGGGCCTACAAAAGAAAGTTAGACAACATAAAATTTAATGCACGAGATAAACTGAGAGTGAATATGCAAAAGAAATATAAAACTAAATTGCAAGGGATACAAAACTGATAAAATAACTGCAGAGAATTAACAGAAAGGCACTAATACAGAACTTGTCATACAACCACGAAAATGGTTGCCATAGTAGTTATTGTACTATCCTAATCCATAGCAACAATTGATCAAAGATTAAATTCAATAATAGCATACTATTTTTCACCGAATCATAGCTTCAGAGAAAAAGCATATACATGAAATAAATATATAAAATCTGCTACGATAATACACCAATACACATAGCATTTGGTTTCTTGCTTCATATATGATTATTGGGTGAGAAAGAGAGGATTATTATGGTGAAGCATGTAGTTAAGTAAGAGAAAGAGGGAGGGGGTGGCTTAATGAACTTTAAAAGCAATTATCATGCACGAGCTTGGACAAGATACTCCAATAGGCTTAGTCATTATCATTTTGCACCAAATTCTGAATCCATGTAACATAGTTGTCAGAATTGGGGCAATACAGAGGTTGAACACATAAATTGAGATTTTGTATAAGCTATTTAAGTGGCGGGAGTTTTCATAGTGCAAGTACTAAAACAATTTAATTAAAAACATACTGCCCCACCCACATGCCATCCCTTTAATTTATAGAGATGCAATTGATAAAAAAAAAAAAAAAGCTTCCATATTATCAAGAAATATGAACATGGCATATTTCCTCTTGAGCACTCAACTTGCTGGTGGATCTCGTGCTTTCCTTTTTTGAGCATGTTTCAAAGTCAACCTGAAGGAAGTCTTGCAACTCGAACCGCGTAATTTGCTCTAATAAAATACTTTAAGAAACCAACTCAACTTTAGCATCTTTATCTTTTATAAGTAATAAATATGTTGACACTAATTTCACTTTAAGAGTTACCTGATGCTGTAGCTACCAGTCACAAGGATACTGATTCCGTCAAAGGAACCTTAAAGGTTCTGATTATAGTACACCCTAAGTTTTAAATCCTCCATTTTGTGTTTTCTTAACAATTTATTGTCCCCATTCCCTATGTTCATTTCTCTTAGAAAACTAGCCTCGGAGAGAAGATACCAATTTTAACTTTCTCACGTTAATTTCCCAACAAACCTATATTAATAAATCCGAATTGTGGTATTCATTTTCAATTCAATTATTACTGTGAATGTGGGACAGGTTTGAACAATGACAAAAACCAAGCTAGAATTATTGAAATTGGAAAATAAGTTTCTCAAAGTCCATCTCTGTGAACACTGTGGATTCTGCTCTCAAGTTTCAACATTAGCAAACCAAAAGCATGACAAAAATGGAATTTAGATTACCATTGTTAAGCCGAAGAAACTGACACGGGTAACAAGCATAAAAATGTATCAGCTAAAGTCAAATACTTGTGTTCCTATTCAGATATATTAGGCCATTGTCACCCCATTACATAACAAATGACAGGAAACGAACTGAATATAAACAACAGCTGAAGCAGATGTCGTCAATAAATTCAAAACGTGAATCTAAATATTACCCCAATGCTTCGGACAATCCATAAACTCACAGCCATCAATAGTCCTACTCCACTTTTATTGAAGGCAAGAGATTCTTCAAAAATTATGCCTGCATATCCTATTCCAAATAGCAACACCATAGCAACATCCTGTATCAGAGAAACCAAACTGAAAGATTTCCAATTACGTCCATATATATATATACGCATTATTTCTGTTCAGCAGCACAGAAAACTTACAATTGAAAGACTCAAGCAATAAGGTAAAGGAGGACCTGATTGGCAGCAACCCAGGAATGATTAATTGCCGCTGCCCCTGTTGCAGCTGCTGCAAATATTGCAAGAGCTTTCAGCAAATCAGTCTTTGGCTGGTAAGCGGCCTCGAAATCTTGTGAGCTCGTTTCATCAACTGAACAGAGGGGATCGCATTCTCCAGATGATGAGGTCAGCTCCTGATGGGGTGCTAAAGGTCAATACAGAGTTAAAAAAAAAAATAGAAGAAATGAACATAGTGCAAAATATGCATATGAGGTGCTGTATCATACCATGGTAGATGACTAAGTAACAGTTCAAGGGAAATTGTTTAGTTAAACAAGAGAAGAGATTTTTTTCTCAACAAGGAACCAAATGGGAAAGTTCCAGGAAAATAGTTAGGGCGGTACTTTCCTATATATGGTATGTCTTGCTTTTGGTGGTTAGTGCATGTTTCCTTTTGTGCCTCAGCAGCTTAACATGTGCTCACAAGATGAAACGAGCTCACAAGATTAATTGCCGCTGCCCCTGTTGCAGCTGCTGCAAATATTGCAAGAGCTTTCAGCAAATCAGTCTTTGGCTGGTAAGCGGCCTCGAAATCTTGTGAGCTCATTTCATCTACTGAACAGAGGGGATCGCATTCTCCAGATGACGAGGTCAGCTCCTGATGGGGTGCTAAAGGTCAATATATAGAGAAAAAAAAAAAAAGGAAATGAACATAGTGCAAAATATGCATATGAGGTGCGGTATCATACCACGGTAGATGACTAAGTAACAGTTCAAGGGAAGTTGTTTAGTTAAACAAGAGAAGAGATTTTCTCAACAAGGAACCAAATGGGAAAGTTCCAGGAAAATAGTTAGGGTAGTACTTTCCTATATACGGCATGTCTTGCTTTTGGTGGTTAGTGCATGTTTCCTTTGGTGCCTAAGCAGCTTAACATGTGCGTGACACATTTCTGTAAAAAAGTAACATTAAATTTAGACGAGAAAAGTACTTCCATAGATTTCTAGCCAAAAATAAACATCATAAAATTTAGATAATGAGACCAAGTTCCAAACCCTTCACCAATTCATCAAATAGTTTGAATCATATGCAAACATTTCAAACAAATTCATACACAATTTGCAACATTTCAATCAAATTCATACACAATTTGCAGATAAGATCACCCAAATCGATACTGTGACAGCCCAAATTAATTGATTTCATAGAGTACTAAATCCATGCCTAATTTCACTGGAATTTAATCAATATGAACCTGAAGCTGTTTGTCGGACTTTGGTTGGGGAGGAGGTGGTTGAGTCGACGAAGAAGATGGGTCTCTGGCCTTGTCTTCGGCACGAACGAGAACACCATTGCGGTGCAACAATCTCGGACCTCTGAGACCCAAGAAAGAGGAATTCAAGCAAGGCTGGGACAGAAACTGGGTGGGAGGTGGAGAGAGAAGTGAACATTTGGTGAATTGGGTTGATGAGAATGGGATGTGGGCTCTGATTGGGAGCAAAATAGACATTTAGGGCTAGGGTTTCTGAAGGAGAGTGAGATGAGAGGTGAGGTCAGGTGAGGTGAGGTGAGGTGATGAAGATGAGAAGACGACGAGGTAGGCTTTGTTTGTTCAGTCAGGACTGTAAGTGAGCAAGTGTGTGGGAGTAATTTTTTTGGTAATTGCAAGTTAAGAGTGGAATCAGTATAAATGAGCGGAATTAGCTCTATTTAACCCTTTTCTTACAAGGGTTAGTCCGTTAATGACATGCAACCGACTAGTCGGACCGATCACACAAGACGATTTCTTGAATCTGTATAAAATCTTGTGCACTGTGGAGACGGTACGGTACATAAGGAAAATAATTCAAATTCGGATTAAATTATTAAAAAAAATAGTTTGATGAGGCGGAATGAAATAAAAAAAAGTGAAATTAAATGGGTTTTTTTTTTCATTCTTGTATTTGGTGCCAATTTAAGAATTGGAATTATTATTTTCTATTATTTTTAGAGAATGGTCATTTCATTCCCTACTCATTCCACATTCTAACAAAAAGAATGCCATTCCCTACTCATTCCATTTCAATTTATTCCATCACACCAAACTAACCCTAAAATAAGACGTGTCGTACACAATTAGTTAATGCATTAAAGTGAGACACTTGAATCTTCAGTGAATTAGATGCTGATGAATTATGCAGTCCATCAACTGTTTTTGTATCATGATTATAAAGACACATGTTGAATCCGATGCTCTAAAATGCAACATTAATTTCGCACACTCTCTCACAACACACACACACACACACACACACACACAAACGAAAAACAGCACATTGGAGGGCATCATCTTATCAAGCCATGTTCAAATTGATTTTGCTTATTAGTGTTGGGCTCGTGAGTCATGACACCCTTGTCATCAATAGTGACCTTGGCAGTTATAGCACTGGTGGGCATTTCAACTGCAACTTCTAAGAAATTATCAACCTTGACTTTTCTGCTCAGAAAAGCTTGTAATTTTCTAAGAATTTTCTAAGATGTTCCAACTTGTGTTCTTGTTTATTTTATGTGGTTTTGCTTCAGTGCAAACAAAAACAACACTAGAGAAAAGCATTACAAAAATTATTCATGTAAAAACATGCCACTTTGGCTCTTTGTGCTGGTCTTTATTAGATTTTCACTATTCTAAATCCATCATGTGATCCACTGCTCTAAACCAATTATCTTATGCTTTTGGAACTCAATTTGATTCCAAGGTTCTAAAAATGGTTAAACAAGAAATGCAATGATTCTTATACTATGTTTGGGAGCAGATTTGAAATTTAAAAAATATATATTTAAAATTTTAAGTCTCCGTTTGTTTGTTTCGACATAAAATATTCTTTTTAAAAAATATTTTTTTTTCCAAATAAAATATTCTTTTACTTGTATTTGAAAAAGATCTAATTCGATATTGAAGTCGAGTTCAACGAGCTGAGCATTTAAAATAACTTGCCGAAAATTAATGAATAAATTATTTTTGTTAAATTTTAACATTTTTTTTCTTCGACAACCAAACACCAAAAAAATAAAAAAAATAAAATATTTTTTGAAATATTAAAATATTAAAATTTACGTCCAAACAAATGGAACCTAATTTTCCTCTGATATCAAATCCAAAGAACCAATTCAGTGCTCTCAAACACAACATTAGAATTTTCCCCAACACCACCCAATGCAACATTATGTTTTGGAATCTAGGCTAAAAATTTGTGTCTCAGTCTTGTACTAAAATAGAACTCCTACAAGTTGTTCATTGTTCTCATGGATGGATTAAAAGGGAAAAAGAAAAAAGAAAGACCAAAGAAAGAATCCATTAACAAAATAACCAATGGCTCATAATATCAGCCAAGAAGAAAAAAATTCATTTCAGCAATAACCCAAAGAAACGAATATTAGCAAGAGACGCCCATTGAGTTAAAAGAACAAACATGAATTGCTAGAGGTCATATTAGGACCACCACAATTTCCAACAGAATCAACAGAAATGAACAACATTAAACCGAAGAAGACCGAATATTAAATCAGATCTCCATGGATTGAGGTCCAGGCTGAGCTTTATTCTTTTTCCTTTTCGTCTTCTTTCCATTTTTGTTTTTCCTTCTCTCTGGTTTCTCATCCGTGACAGGTTGAGTGCTCTGTAAGTGTCGATGAAGAGCAGCCAACGGGTCCAACTGGAACTCATGATGGTTAAGAACTGTTCTCAATTGATTTCCTTCCTTCACTCTGATAAAATTAGCCCATTACACAATAAACATGAATATGGTAATACTAAAAGCAAAATCAAATCTTGCAAGTGGAATGAAAAATGATTAATTTTTAAGCACTCACACTAGATTTTGCCTGGATTTACAATTTAGTTTAAACTCGGCAGCAGTAGTTGGTTGATGTTGAGCCTTCAACTCAGGAAGGAACTCCGCGAGAGTCGAGAGATCATAAGCTTTTAATTTCTTCTGTCGGCTTCTAAGTTTTTTCTTCTGATAAAACAGGAGTCACGCAGCTTAAACTCTAAATCAAATAAACACAGACATACACATATATATTGTACACATAGAACAGACAAAGCTACTGCATGCATCATCTTTTCCTTCTTTCTTTTTGGAGGGGGGGGGGGGGGGGGGGGGGGGGGGACTAGGTTTTTGCATGCATCTTTTGAATTTCATAAATGATAATAATGACATGAAAACTTTACAAGTGACTTCACATAGAGCACAATAATGGCTTTGCAAATCAATTGAATAAACTACTTGATAGTAATCATAAAAAATTATCTAGTTGTCCACACATTCATCACAATTAAAGTATCTTACCCCCTAAATTCAAGATTGCAACAAAATAAACCTCTGGAGTTCGCTATAATAGATTTAACTTTGAGCGATGGACTTCCAACCGATATTAGTAAATCTAGATCATACAAATTGTCACACCATAATCATTTTACATACTAGCAACTGAAATGAATCCATTAATAAGTCTGAGAGCTTCTCATATCTTTATCTAAAAAGTCCGCATGACCCTCAAATGAAATGAATCCATTGAAGCACTTGGCCAACCTAGAAAAAATAGAAGAGCACAATGCCAAGGTCCAAATGTAACTTTTAATCTATTCCATTCATTGAAGTGTTCATTGGCTTACATTTTTCTTCATTCAGGAGAAACACGAGGTGCTTAATGACCAATGATATCCGTAAGGCAGATAACAACTTCAACAAAGAATGTAATAAAGAAATGTTGAGGTTCTTAGGCTTCAAAACTTCTTGAAGGAAGTGCTTAAAATATGTAGTCTATGCTCCAATTGACATGTATTTTGTAAAAGAACAGAATTCAAAATTGACTTCATTGTTATTTCACATGTTAACCCATATTATAGCAATTGCAGCTAGATCTTTTCACTACAAGTTATGCTCAAATATTTCGGCGGTACTTGATTTTCAGTTAGAACTTTAGACATTCAGTTTGGCAACTTCGATCGAACCCTTCTTTAGAAAGATCTAAGCTTGAAAATCATCACTTGCTGTTTTGCACCAAAAACACCACCACTTATTCCATTAGCACACTAGGGTCCAAGAATTGAACTCTCAAGGATGACAGCGAGTCTGGACAACAGATTCAAGCCAAACGATTCTTATCCTATATCCCATCAAGGAACTTGTTTATATGATCATACCGTTACAAGTAAAGAGAGCATGTTAATGAATGAACAGGATTAAATTTAAAATGACAAGAAATGACATTGTTTTTACTATTTTATTATCATAAATATCCTTCATATGTGATGTCTCCGTTTTCTTTCCCTTTTTTATTTTCTCATAAAGTAAAATTTTCAGGGATTCAAAAACTACATAGTTAAAATCTAATGATTTCATCTCCTTCTGGTGTCCCTTAGTTCCCAAATCAATATGATCTATAGCACAAAAGTTTATAAGAAGCACAATTCATTTAGCAGATTGAAAGTAGGGCTTTCATCGTGACAATGGCAGCCATCAAAGAGAAGCAAGGGCATTGTCAAAGAGAAGCAAGCATATTCTTCAACAAAATGGGAATACAACACCTCACAGGCACATTTTTACTACCAAATTACCAATAAACAAATGGACATTAAAAATCCAAATGCATAGTTCTAAATTCAATAGGCAAACTATTCAGAACCCAACTAAATGCAGTTATAGAGCTTTAAAACATCACTAATAGCACTGCATCTTGCCACTTTCCCTTGATAATAACGAAGACTCTTCAGCAAACCAGAATTTTGAGTATAACATATCCAATATAACTTCAAAATGTTAAAAACAACATCAATCCAATTTATCAGTTTATTGTTTCAGCTGTAAGATCAAAACATAAAAGTTTCAAGAAGATCCTCACCTTACTGATAACCTTTTGGGTAGTTAATGAAGCAACAGTATCTCTAACCTCTACAAAACAAAAACCCAACAAAAGGTTATACGAAACTATTGACGATTAGCACTTAGTAATGCATCAAATAGGCATCCAACCATTCACCAAAAGGTAAGCAACAAGACATATTTGAAGCATGAAAGATGAATGTAGTTATTTTTCAGTTTTTCTTTGACCAAAAATAAATAAATGAAAATGAGAAGAAGAAACGGAAAGAAAATGAGGAAAAACAACAAAATATAAAACTCAGTTGAGCTTAAGCATCATAATCATATTAAGGATAATTAAAATTCACAAAACAAAACTAAATCACCATCAGATAGAGGAAACAGGAACAACTTATTTGCATTGTTCATAAGAGTGTCCTGGATGATATAAGAGATAAATATGACATCGAAAACATAATAGAGGAGTATTAAACATACTTCAAGATTTGCAAATTACGTTGAAGAAGAGGGCATCTCAAACTTAAATACCACAAATTATTTTAAATGACAGTATTTCAATCTTTTATTCTGAAAATAAGTTTGAGCAGGATACAGAAGCCATTATACAGGATGAAAGTACGAAACTGTTATTTGAACAATGATATTACAAAAAGTTTTCCCCTCATGACAAAAAATGTTATGAAGCTTGAACTTTGCTCAAATACACCAAGCAGAGACATGCGGATATCAAAAGAAAATCAGTTCATAGATTCCAATAATGACGGAGCAATTGCAAATATTAAATTTAACAAAAACAAAAAGGAGGACGATTTTTTCTTTGAATACAAAATTACAAACTTCTTTTTTTTTTTTTAATGACAAAAATACAAACTTACTAGTATAGAACTCCAGTTTCTTTTCAAATTTGCGGTCAGCATGGGTTGATCCATCTGATCTGAATTTACAAAAAAAAAACAAAAAATGATCAGAAAAATCAATAACTGGAGAAAATAATATATATCGAGTAAGAAAACACATTTAAAAAGACGTGCAGAAATTTTACCTTGACCTGGTCTTGCCCATGTTTGATGATTTGGTTTTTTAAGCTGTTAATACAACCTATAAACATAAATAAAATTAAAAAGTATCTAACTCACAAAAGATAATGAACAATATTTGTCTCTTGCACTATCAGGATGAACACCGATGTCTCGTATTTGTATAATATCAAAAAGAGAGATAAACTCGTTTTTAACCGGAAAATCAAATAATAAAAAACCGTAACATATAAAAATCAGACAGTGCAACAAAATAATCCAATAAAACCCTAACGTCCATTTAACACGAAGTGTAAACAATCAGATTCAAAAACATAATAAGAAATTGACAAATGAACGATGATGAATATGATTTACCTTAGAACTTGGTACGAATAGAGAGAGAGACGAGTGCAGCTGAGTTGCAAAATTGAGGCAACAATCCGATTATCAAGTCAGAAATTAACAGACTAAACTCAAAAAACGCAGAGAATCAACGGTGAAATAGTGTCAGGTAAAGCAATTAGGGTTTATTATCAATAAGAAGCAGAGAAACCGAGATTTATATTGTAGAGAGAAAGAAATATTGGAGCGTACTGTTAGTGGTAGCCACCGTGAGTCTGGTCGCCGATTGTCGCCTTGTAGATGAAGACGAAACCCTAACGTCGTGGGAGTGGTTTAAGCGGTGATGCGGTATTGGCAATGGCGGGTAACAGATTTGGGACTTGGGAAGTTTGGCCCGTTTGGGTCCGAGTGTCGACCCGGTGTTAGGGTATACTCCCTCCGTGTCACTTAAATGTCCTGTTTTGTGTTACGGTATACTCTTTTGGTCCCATTTTAATTGTCCTGTTTTAAAAACTGTAATTAACACGATTAACACGGATTCAGGATTTTTAGATGGGGTGGACTAACATTAAACATGAGTACTAAAGAATTGGTTTGGGCCTTTATTTTAGTATGGTGGCTGAGTTTATTTGGGCTTTATTGAGTTTTTGGGGTGGGCTAATACTGTTATTTTTTTTTATTTTTTTGAGCTAGGCTAATATATTAGTATAGTAATTTTTTTTAGGGTGGGTTACAGCCCACCTTTGCCTACCCCCGTGTCGGCCGCCCCTGATCGTGACTCATAATTAAAGTGGGACAAAGTGGTGCACATAGTCGAAGTCTGCCACTCTAAAACTCGGAGATACTAACCCATTGAGTTATGGAAGCATCTGCAAAAAATTTTGCACATTATAAAGTGAATTATAAATAATACATATATATAAGAAAATAAAATAAACCATATATGCTTAACAACTTTATAATCGATCAGATCAACATATCCATACCTATGTTTTTTTTTAATTATCAGTCTAACTTAACACTGAATGATGAGAAATACCAACTATTTAAAATTTATATGTGACAAATATTTATTTGATTTTTAAATTCTTTATCATACACGTCTCTGCCAATATAAATATTTTAAATAAGTTAATATTATTTTCCTATTGAATCTACAATTTTCTGAGAATATATATCATAACACAAAAATGACCTCTAATCGGAGTTGGACAGAATCATGTGCTTTGTAATCTTACAAGATAGCCTTGTTTCAATTTTCTAAGAGAACCCCACCTTACCAAACCAATTAATATATTAACTACAAATAAATTTTAATTCATTGTTCCCTTGTCCTCTGTTAACTAGCATCAATCACATTAGAAAACATCTTCAATGTTAGTATTATACACCTACAAATCAATTTTTATTATATTTAAAAAAATAAAAAATAAAAATCGGAATCCTTTAACCATATTATTTAAGTTCAAGTGTTTTTCAATCTTGTGAGATATCAAATTTAGAATATTCAAAAATACTAATTCGAGACGTTAAGATCAAAACTTCGTATAAAGTTTAATTATTAAAATAAAAAAATTTCAATAATAAGCATTCTTTTCTTCTTAATTGGTACTCAACATACATTGAGACTTGAATCCCTTACCTCTCTTTAGGGTGTAAGAGTCTGATATCGCTATACCACTAATCCTTTAGTTTATTAAGCAATCTTTTTAAAATATCTACATATTTTCCTCAAATAACTTCAATCAAGATGAGAAATTTCTACATGACCATTCCATTTGTAGATTAATTAATTATTGATCTTCTCATTTTAAATGTAATTATATCTGAGCAATTGTTGCATTTATAATAAACTAGTATTATGTAATACTAAAATCATTAAAATTAAGAAATGAATGAATTAAGTTCAGGTGCAGCTTATTATACCTACTTTGTGTTGACAAAAAAAATTTATGGTTAAGGATTTTGCCCTTGCATGATTGTCCATATTAAAACTAGGATAATGTTTAGCTACTCACCCCTATATGGTCCAATAATAAAATAACACATCACACTTAATAATAAAATAATTCATACATTTCTCTGCTTTCAACCATCGAATAAATGTATATAATGTTTTTAGGTGTGGATTATTTTATTATTAAATGTGATGTGTTATTTTGTTATTGGACCATATATGGGTGAGTAGCTTCACCCTACTCACCGGTGAGTAGTTAAGCATTGTCCTTAAAACTAAACTGAATATTCCAAGTTTTAATGTACATTTTTATAAATTTTACCCCAAAAAAAAAAAAAAAAAAAAAAAAAAAAAAAAAAAAAAAAAAAAAAAAAAAAACCTAATGGGAGATACACCCTCCGTCCCAAAATACATGACCATTTGTGAGTTAAAGTTCCTAAAAACAATTATGCATTCTAGATGGAAAGGAGATGAAAATTCAAGTGTCATTTGTGCGTGGAAAACTGACAATGACAAACATATATCATAAGACTATCTCTAATGCTAAAAGTTATTTTCGCATGCCAAATATATATTTGACAGGTGTTATAGTGTCAAAATGTTACATTTTAGTCATTCTGCTCCAATAGTGCATTTCATGCAAAATGTTATTTTTTGACACAACCACCATTCTTTTTCAACTACCATTCCCACCATTCATATTTGCATCAGTAATATTAATATTAGGCACATTTCAAGTCAAGTTGTAGACATTAGAAGAAAACTAAAATTAAACATAATTAAAAAGATATCTGGTCAAAAAAAAAATAAAACAAAAACAAAATGATATATATTTTTTATTTTTTTTTTTCGGGAATTTATATATATATATTATATATTTAATTATATTATTATTAAAAAAGTTCAGAGCTGGAGGGGGATTAGGGGAGAGAAGTTAAATGCATATAAAAGTAGTAGTAGAGTTTACAAAAATTTCTTCGAGATAAACAAAGGGTATTACCAAAGTAGTGCCACTAGTGCCTTTTTCTAAATAGATTGAACTAACAATTATCCATACATCATATACTTCAAAGTACTTTATATATAAAAAAGACTCTATTAAAGAACCTGAAATTCATCAATCCAATAATTGACTGAAAATATTTAGTTTCAAAATCAAAATCTTTTGTAAAAAAGGATGGTAGCAATACTAACAGGCAGAACTTCTATATAGCATTCAAAGTCTAAGGCTTGTTTAGTTAAGTTATCCTACTTTAGTGTTAATGTGTGTAATATTTGAATTTTGGATAAGCAAAATATAAGATCATATTTGCACTATTTGTTGAATAATATGTGTTACACTTTGTAGTGGCCTTTTTAGATGAAGAAGATGTAGCAACATACACAATCAAACAAGGAGACACTTAATGTTCTATTTGATTGCTGATTTACTGATTATTAATGCTTCAGAATAAAGAAAAAAAGAAAAAGAAAAAAGTAGCCCACCAATCATTTGATGAATCAGAAATTCATAATATTCTAATCCTGGGATTAAATTAATGCTCCATTTGATAATTTTGATTGCTGAAAAAGAGAAATAGAATAAACGAAGACATAGCTGAAATTTTAAAAATTTGTGTGATTTCAACCAAGTAGATTCCAGAGATTGAAACAAGAAAAATACATAAAAACATGTTTTAGAACTAGTAAAGCAATCCCCTTGATTGAATTGAAGTCTTTGAAGGAGACGATGGAACCGTGGAGGCCTAATTAGAAACTTTCATCAAAATTCAGAAAGTTTCATTTTTATTTGCAAACCATTTTCCCTTCTCCCTGCGACATTTACACTGAATGGAGGAAATATTGACTTAAGTTTTAAACATAAAAAAAAAAAAAAAAAAAAGAAGAAGAAGAAAAAGAAGAATCAAAGGAGTTTAAGAGAACTACTAATCCAGACTAATCAGAGGATAGAATTCAACAGACAATTTAAAATTAAAAAGAAAAAAAGAAAAAAGAGAAGGAAATCAACAAATTGAGTTTTTAAGACAATATAATGGCAAGAGTTTCCTATTACCCGTATTCATAAAAGTCTCTGATAAATCTCATTTGATATAAAAATAATCCCAAAAAAAAAAAAAATTAAGAAGAAGAAGAAATTAATATATATTTATATATGAGGCAACATGAACAGAAAAAGATGACAAAAGAACACCCAAACTTGTTGTCCTGAAATTACTATTTTCTCAAATCAAAAGATCACATAATACAGACCTACTTTCCTCCATTTAATTGCGAGACAAAATTAGCAACAAAATTACCGATATGAGAAGATACATATATATATATATATATACACACAAATATGAGGATGAGAGGGAAAGAGAAAATACAAATCCGAGAAGAAAGAATTTACCGATTGTTTAAGTGTCGGTCGCCGTTAATAATTGCCGATCGTTGCAGATGAAAGGGAAAGAGAGACGACAGGGCAACTCAAAAGAACAGATAGAATGCAACGAAAGGCATAGAGAAAAGGTTGATAGGATTGAGGGAGAGAGAGATTAAACTACATCGTATAGAGGAATAAGAGGCTTGCCAAAAAAAATTGGCAACTGTTACATTTGGGAGGAAATTTGACAATGTCAAAATTTAAGAGCCCATTGGAGAGCCCTTTTTTCACTCCCTCTCATACTTTGAGTTTAGTAGCCCAATATGAAAGAGCATTGGAGTTGCTCTAACACAACTGGTAGTGGTGACAAACTGACAATCAAAATATATAAGAATTGAGATGGACTGAATCCTCTCTATGATGGAATACTGCATCGTCCAGCTTGAGATCGGGCTCGATTTTTTTGTAAGGTGCATCTTACATTAAAGAACACATGATTATATATGTATTCGTATTTAAGTGGTAACAAGAGGACGGGTTTGGAATGAGAAACCAAATCATCTGCATTTGATTCTCATCGCTCACATGATATGCATTTTACTCACATGATATATATCTCAACGGTCTCTTATTATTTAGTTATTAATGGTACTGTCGAGGGGTTCTTCCAGCCATCGCGTGGGTTACGCCAAGGTGATCCTTTATCGCCATACCTCTTCATTCTTTGTGCTGAGGTACTGTCTTTGGCTATCTAACGAGCTCAGGAAGCAAATCTTATCTCTGGGTTGAGAATTTGTAGAGGTGTTCCATATATTTCTCACTGTTTTTTGCGGATGACTCGATTGTTTTTTGTCAGGCACCTGAGGCGGAGATCGGATCTTTAAAGCATATCCTTACTGCTAATGAAATGGCTTCGGGACAGAGGGTGAACTTTGAAAAATCCGCCATATTTTTCTCTAAGAATGCGCCATTGTAATTATGGCATGCCTTGAGTCAGTTATTAGGTTTATCCAAGGAAGGGTTTCAGACGAAGTATCTCGGGATGCCAGCGATTCTTGGTAGGTCTAAAAATGATGTGTTTAAGTTTTTGCTTCAACGGATGAAGGATCGTTTGGCTTCTTGAAAGCAACTTACACTTTCAGATGGTGGCAAGGAAGTTTTGATAAAAGAGGCGTTGAATGCTCTTCCAACCTATATTATGTCTGTTTTCCGCTTTCTTCGTAATTTATGTCTAGAATTATTACAACAGGTACGTTCTTTTTGGGGGCGAAAATTTGGAAAAGATAAAGCAATACATTGGGCTCCTTGGGATTTATTGTGTAAAAGTAAGGAGGAGGGTGGTTTGGGATTTCAGGACCTGGAAGCTTTTAATTTGGCGTTGTTGGCCAAACACGCTTGGAGGTTCCAAGTTTCTAAGTATGGCGTGGCGTATCAGTTATTCAAAGCAAAATATTTCCCCTCCCATTCCTTTGTGGATGCACCTCTTGGATCAAATCCATCCTGGGCTTAGCGTAGTATTTGATCGGCGCAGGAATTGCTGAGGCATGGTTTGCGATGGGTAGTTGGTAATGGGACATCTATTCATGGGCCCGTGGAGGATGTTCCAATTTGGAATGGTGACGCCTCCGAAAGGTTTTCTGTTAGGTTCATTTACCAATTGACTGTTTCTCTTTATTATCTGAATTTGCGGCCTGATAGAAGGGGGCATGGACGTAGGGTGTCTAGACAGGTTTGGAGTCAGTTGTAGGGATTGTCTGTGCCTTCTAAAATTAAACATTTTATTTGGAAAATGTTGTTATGATGCCATCCCTACAGGGGTTACATTAGTTCGAAGAGCTTGTTTGCAGGATCCGATGTACCGGAGGTGTGGGTTGGAGGTAGAGGATATTCTTCATATTTTTTTCCGGTGCACTCACTCTGTTCAGGTATGGAAGCTCATTCCTCTTCGTTGGGATTTTTCTCAGCATTCTCCTTTATCTTTTATTAGTTGGTGGTAGAGTATTTCAAGAGATTCTTTGCTTTCCGAGGATAATAAAGAGGTTGTGGGAGGGTTGGCTGCTTTTTGTGTGTGGTTGATTTGGAAGGCTAGAAACAAATTGGTGTTTGAAAAGAAAGTTTGGGATCCTTTGGTGGTGGCTAATCTAGCTACGGATCGGATGTGGAAGTTTCTAAGTGTGCAGAACAAATGACAGGCAATTGATTCTTCTAAGAGTTTTATTGTGTCCTCTAAACGTTGGATACGCCCGTTGCCTGGCATGATTAAATGTAATGTGGATACTTGTTTTTCCAAATCCGCTTTGTTAGGAGGTGGATGGGCGGTTTTTAGGAACTTTGATGGCTCTGTTCTTCAAGCAATGACTTTTAAACTGGTTTCTTCCTTGTCCGTGAGCGTAACTGAGACTTTTGCTTTGTATCGTGCTGTGTATTTGGCCAAAATGTTTAATTTTCAACAGATTTGCTTTGAGACGGATGCTAAAGTGGTGGTGGAAGCTATTACGGGTGTTCAAAATAGTGATGGTGAGTGTTTTCCTTTGGCGTTTGAGCTTCGGAAGGAGATGCAGGCTTGTTCTTCGTTTTCATTAGCACATGTTCGAAGGGATTGTAATAAGGTGGCTCATGCTTTAGCTGGTCTCTTACGGGCTAACATGAATGAGGATTTGGTGCTTCTTTTGATCCCAACTTGCATCTCTAGACTTTTGGCAGTTGATGCGGATGGTTGAGGATGATCATGGGCTTGTTTCTTCGTTGTTTTTTTTTGTGGCTGTTGCCAAAAAATAAAAAATAAATAAATATGCATTTTAGACAATTCTCATCACTCGCAAGTATGCATTTTCAATATCACACGTGTGATATGTAAATACCTTGTCGATATAATGTGTTGCGTGTCTTTTGTTCCGAATGTACAAAAATTCTTGTACACATGTCACTTTCCATGAATACGGAATACTAAGACAAAACTTATTATATATAACAAATCGAGTTTAGATCCTTTTCATTGCATCGGACGGTTCTCGTCGCTCACATATGCGAGCGAGCACAAGAACCTTCCCATGCAAGTCGCCGCACCTGATCCACTCACAAGATACTAAGAACACGACCTGACAGTCCAATACTAAGACCTAGATTTCCCACCATATGCTTGGCGGCAAACGGACGTAGGTTTCTGTGATTTCAAGCAAAGCTGCGAAGAAACCGGACAACTGCTTAGACAATTGTCCCCCAAACTGCCGGAAACTGACGACACGCCGGAGAAGAAATTCCCAGGCGGTGTCCCATTTAGGAAATTCCCATCGAGGAACAACCTCCTCAGTGACTGCTTCTTGCTGAACTCCCCCGGGATTGGTCCGCGTAGCCGGTTGTAACGCAGCGACATAGACGACAGCAGAGGATAACCCGACAGATTGATCGGCAAATTCCCTTCAATCTTGTTGAAACTCAGATCAACGGCCACGAGATCGCTGTTCACCTTCGTGGGCTGCCAGATCTCGACACGTGCCAAGCTGTTATTCGCCAGGTTGACCTGTTGGAGTGCAGGCAAGAAGAAGAACCAGGGCTGCAGTGTTCCGGCGAGCCAGTTTTCACTGAGTTCGATCACCTCTAACTGAGTCAACCCGTCGAAGGACGATTTAGACAAAGGCCCAGATAAAGAATTGGACTTTACAGCGAGTTCGACTAAGTTGGGTGGTAATTTGGGGAGTGACCCAGTGAGTTTGTTGAAGCTAAGATCGAGTCTTCTCAAGCTAATCATGAAGTTCATCCCATTTGGTAAAGACCCAGAAAGAGAATTCCGAGAAAAGTCAATGGACTGCAGAGATTTGAGATTGGCAATCGAGGGTGGGACTGAGTTAGAGAACGAGTTGGATCGGAGGATAAGGGTTTGGAGGCTGTGGAGAGAGGAGAGAGAGGAAGGGATTGGGCCATAGAAGTTGTTGTCGGCGAGATCAAGAATAGTGAGTTGGGTGAGTTTGGAGATGAGGGGAGAGAGAGTTCCTGAGTAACCCGCCGGGTCGAGGGTGAGTTGGGTGACTCGGAACGATTTGGAACAGGTGAGTCCGCAGGTGAAATGGGTGATGTGAGGGAGAGAACATGGGTCGGAGGTGAAGTTCCAGGAGGCTAAGCAGGAGTAGGAGGGGACGGTGGAGGGTTTGATTGAGGATTTGAAGGATTGGAGAGCTGAAATTTCTGAGGGGAGAGTGGTGGATTGGGTGGTGATGATGAGAGAGGAGAGAGAGAGGTGGAGGAAGAGGGAGATGGCATTGAACATTGCGAGAAGTTAGAGAGAGAGAGGGGTTTGAGGTGAGGTGAGCATGTAGCACTTTAATTTGTAGGGGTACTGGTGCATGTTTCACCAGTTGGACAGCACTGAACCTTTTGAGGAAGGAATGCTATTATTAGAACTTGCCGCGTCAATTCCAGTCTATCCCAAGACAAATTTGATTTACTACATGGTTTCGGATTATAGGACGTGACGAACCATTTACACTGGTTTGTTTCCGTATAAAATATATATTTTTTAATAATTTTTTTTTTTCTTTTAGTATTTAGGTGTTGACAAAGGTATAGGTTAATGTCGAGTGCCGGACCTAAATGATTTGTCAAAAATTAATGAATGAGGTTTTTTAATTAAATTTTAATATTTTTTAAAATATTTAAAAAAAAAAATTATTTTACATCCAAATAAATAGAGCGTAAAGTAAAATTAAAAATTAATAAAACTTACACATTTTCAATGAATAACGGAATTTGGTCACAACAATCTAAAAGTTTATCTTTGTTAAGGAGAATTGTGATAGAAAGTTCGAAATTCATAACAAAAAATACATCTACTTATATAAATGTTGGGAAGGTGAATAATTATTTCTACAATTATGGTAATATTTTTAAACTCACTTGATTTGGGTTTAATTCTAGTTCAGGTGTGAGATAAATTTCAACCTCCACTTTAACTTGACCTATTATATATTTATAATTGTGATCAAATTTTTTTTTTCTTTCTTTTTTCAGTTATTTTTTCTTTAAATAATGGTTTGTTTTATTTTAATCCTTTGAAAAATTATTTTTCATAATTTTGCTTTAAAAAAATTTATATTCTCATTCCGATTTTAGAATTTTTTTTTTATATATATACATAGGAATAACCAAATTTAAAGAGTAATATCGTGATCAATTAAAATTTTTAATTTAATATTTTTAACTTGAACTGAAATGCGAGTTCAAAATTTTGGATTTGATACAGTGGGTTAAGCTCAAATTGGAAAGTATGCATAGCATGTTGAAGATTTATACATTGATCTAATATGAATGCCAATAAAATGAATGAACTTTTAGAAAGAATCATGCACCACTAACATTTCTTTATTTTTTTTCTAGTTGCGGAGTTTAGTTGAAGGAAATTTTTTTACTCATATAATAAAGTAGATAGGTGTTATAAGACGGGTTTGTCCAGCGTCTAATTTAGATTAGACAATGAATGACTATATATAGATTGAATGTTAGTCATACTTAATATACTAAATTTTTGAGTTGGATTATAAAACACTCTACCCGTTATAATTGATATTAAAGTCTAGACTCATTTTTTGATCTAATGTCAAACTAGAATCGATAAATATATAATCATTCAATTCAAATAAAGCGTTATGAGTTCAAGTGAGAGGAGATTCAAATAGATAAATAAGTCAAATTATTTGACTCAAATAGTGTGACCCGATCATAATAAATGCATTGAAAGTTCGAGTGAGAGAGATAAATAAGTCTTAAGTACGGGTGGGTAGCATTGCCCTTTTTTAGTCCTTTTTATAATTCGGGTCTGAAATTTGAAGTCGGCGAGAGTGTTGTCCTTGTTAAGCCGTACTTGAGATGTTTCTATAGTTTTCTGTGCCCAGACCACTGGTCCAATTTCACACGTCCATCCAACCATAAACTTTCTGTGAAAGCCAACAGTTGTGTGGGGCATATATGTCTTTTATTATTTCAGTATATGCTGCATTTTGTGGAAGACGACAACACTGAACATTGAAAGTCCTATTGCTACAGTAGAGTGGTACACTGGTTCCAGTCATTGTGAAAGCAATGTTCACCTGTTTAAGTCAGCAATTACAACAGCATTGCATTTGTGTGTATATATATATAAATGGTTACTTGTTTTTTATAATGACACTAATTCATAGTTTATAGAAAACTCAATCATATTGCAAAAAGGATGGATTTAGATCTATTACCATCTTAAATTTATCTAATTCTGTTCTTTTCATTCACTTTATTATTTTTATAGGTTGACAACTGTAATATATACCACTAGAACGTGAATAGTGTCTGTTTGACCTAATATTTTCATTTGATTTTTACTATTACGAAGTTTAGAGATGGTCAAATATATGTATTTTTATTGTTGTTAGTTAGTAGAAAAATGTGTTTTTCAAATTCAAAACTCTTAAATTTTATGTCACAATTGTTGCGCCAAAATCCACCCTTCAGTTGGATTTGAGCTCAAATAAAACCTTGAATCCACACTGGATACACTGCATGTTACAAATAAAAAAAGATTGATAAAAGCATGAAAATAGGCACTACACACCACTACACAACGTGCAAAAACAAACTCTTATACACTCAGTACATATAAACCAACTTGTTGAACACGTACAACTCCACTATTAACAAATTCTTAAGGACTAGGACAACTTAGACAAAGTAAAAATTAAACGTGCAAACACTAAATTATTCAACAAACCCCCCTTTAAACTGAAAGCTTTTGGACTTCAGTTTAATTATGCGATACTTTCTTCAAGTGGGATTCTCCAATGTGCAAATACCTAGCAACCTTCTCCAATTGTGAAAGGATAGAGATCTGAGAGGTTTAGTAAAATATCAGCGAGTTGATTTTCACTTCTGCAATACTTCAGACCAATCGCTCCATCATTGCTAAGATCTCTTAAAAAATGTAGCACAGGATTTTTGGAGAGTTTGATAGCTAATCTGTTGTCACAAAAACTTGTAGTAGCTCCAACTTACTTGAAATGCAGCTCTTCAAGGATTTTCCTCATTCAGATAGCTTGACAAGCGCAAGCTGTTGCAGCAACAAATTCAGCTTCAATGGTTGACAAAGTGACAATTGGTTGCTTCTTAGATGACCACGAAACAGCCCATGTGCCCAGTATAAAAACATAGCCTGAAGTGCTCCTCCTATCATCTCAGTCTCCTGCATAATCGCTATCAGTAAACCCAATCAAATCTGACCTTTTACCTTTCTTGTAGAGCAACCCAAAATCTTTAGTTCCTTGCAAGTAACGAAAGATTTTCTTGGCAGCTAAAAGATGTAACTCTGTTGGATTCTCCATATATCTGCTGATTAGACTTACTAAGTACATTATGTCAGGTCTTGTTGTAGTTAAATACATTAAACTTCCCACTATTTGTTTATAGAGTGTGTTATCCACCTTTTTTCCTCCGTGATCTTTGGTTAGCTTCAAGCCAAACTCAGTTGGAGTACTTACAGGATTACAATCCTTCATATGAAACCTATCCAAAATCTGTCTCAAATACTTCTATTGAGAAATAAAGATTCCTGTAACAGACTGTACCACTTCGATGCCAAGAAAATAATGCATCATACCAAGATCAAACATTTCAAATTCAACCATCATAGACTTCTTAAACTTTTCAAATATGACACTATCATTGCTAATAAATAAAAGATCATTTACATATAAGCAGACAATAAGCATTTTCCTTCCATCACCAATTTTAACAAAAAGTGTGTGCTCATATGGATATTTTTGAAAACCTTCTTTCAAAAAATAAGCCTCAATGCGACTATACCAAGCCCGTGGGGCTTGTTTTAATCCATAAAGAGCCTTTTTCTAATCTATACACTTTATGCTCATTTCCAATATAACCAGGAGGTTGATCAACAAATACATATTCCTCTAAGTTTCCATGTAAGAATGCCAATTTGACATCTAATTGGAAGATATGCCATGAATTATGTGCTGCCAATGCAGTCACCAATCTGATTGTGTCATGCCTTGCAACAGGAGCAAAAACCTATTTGTAATCCACACCAAACTCTTGTTTGTAACCCTTAGCCACCAAGCGTGCCTTGCACTTGTCAAGTTCACCATTCTCCTTCAATTTTGTCTTATAAACCCACTTGACACCAATTGTTTTCTGCCCATTTGGAAGATCTGTTAACTCCTAAGTGTCATTTTTTTCGATGGAGGCAATTTCATCATCCATTACCTTCTGCCACTTTGCGTCTTTGACAGCTTCTTTAAAAACTACAGGATCACAGTCTGAAAACAGGGGAAAATGCATAAGTGGATCATCGATATCAATCATGCTGGATACCTTATAGTCTGACATCCACGCTGGTCTTTTTCTAACATGCTGAGGACGTGATCCTGTTGTAGCATTAAGTTGTTCGCAACTGGTGAAGTTTCAGAGACTGCAGGGACGTCATTTTGAATATTCTGAGGAGCTGAATTTGCTGGAACATTTTGTTGTTGCTGCTACTGCGTGTCCTCATCATTTCCACCATCAAAATCTGCTGGAATTTGCTGTCTACTTGTGTTGCTGCTCGATGACCATGTCTTTTCTTCATAAAAAATGACATCACGACTAATAACAATTTTATTGGTGGTAGGATTATACAATTTGTAAGCTTTTGAATGATCATTAACACAGTGAACAATGCATTTTTCGCCTTTGTCATCTAACTTTCTTCTTTTTTCGTCTGGAACATGAGCATACGCTATACACCTAAAAATTCTGAAGTGTTCAACACTTGGTCTTCGTCCATTCCAAGCTTCTTTAGGAGTTACGTTTTGAACAACAAGTGTGGGGCTCCTATTCAGTACATGAATGCTCCAATTTACAGCTTCGGGCTAAAAACTTCTTGGGATCCTGCTTCTTGCCAAAATAGTTCGCACCATGTTCAAGATTGTACGATTCTTTATCTCTAAAACGTCATTTTACTGTGGTGTATAAGCTGTTGTCAGTTGCTTTTGAATTCCATAAGCCTCACAAAAATTTACAAATTCTTGTGAGTTGTATTCTCCACCATGATCGCTGCGAAGAATCTTTATAAGCAAGTCTGCTTCTTTTTCGACCAGCGCCTTGAAATTTTTGAAAGCTGAAAATGTTTTAGGCTTCTCCTGTAAAAAATAAGGCCATTTTTTTCGACTATAATTATCAATGAACGTTATAAAATAACGTTTACCACCATTCAATGTCGAATTAATGGGTCTGTATATATTAGAATGTACCAGCTCCAACACCTTCTTCGCTTTCTATGATTTTTCCTTTCGAGAAATGATCGCGATGTTGCTTACCAACAACACATTCTTCATAAATTTGAGAAGGTTGCTGAAGTTGCGGAAGACCCGTCACCATGTTCTTTTGATGTAGCGTCTTTAAACCACAAAAATTCAAA